TATTTTTTTCACAAGGTAAAGTTTGGTTTATTATTACTGCTTCCTTTTTTGGTAAAATTTGCAAAAGGCGAGCAAACCAAAATTCTGCTCCCCTTGTAAAATCCGTTCTATATTCATATAACCTAGACCACATTACCTCAATAAAACATGGTAGAGACAGTGAACAAAAGGCTTTGGCACAACTCAGTGTCCAAGAAAATACTAATATAGATAAATGTGATATTTTTATAGACGAAGAATATTTTTATTTAGGCGCAACACCAGATGGATTGTGCACTGAAGGATTAGTGAAAGTGAAATGTCCAAGCTCACTTTATGGAAAAGATCCTGATACCGCTTTCCAAGCTAAAAATCTAAAATGTTTCAAAGTGAACAGCCAATCGGAAATCGAGATGAACAAAAATCACGACTTGGTACTACCAGGTTCAGGACCAGTTGCACATAGCGAAAAAAGACATATGTGTATTTGCTGTATGGACTGGGCCTGATTTTCGATTGAAAGTAGTAAGAGTAAAGAAAGATGACGGTTTTTTGGCAAGAGAAAATGCTACCCAAATTGACTCGGTTTTACCAAGAGTGCGTATTACCGGAAATCATAGACCCAAGAAAGGCAAGATCAATGCCTTTACGCCAAATATTCCTATAGCGTAAGCATTTAGTTGTTAACCGACAATAATATGTGATTGTTTTTATGTTAATTGTTATTATATTATTTTACATAACATAACTTTTTGTTTTTCTATTTACCTAGCTTAAAAATTTCATTAGACTAAATAAAATGTATAACTTTTTATTAATCTCATACAAAATCACATTACGGCTCAAGATTGCTTCGTCCGTCTCGGCTTTCGCGTTACACTGTTTATGATACGTTTGAGTGCGTAGCTACGCACACATAAACAATGATGCAGTATTTTACCTAAACTCGAGCGTAATCATTTTGTGAAATGGCTCTTAAATGTGCGGCGATGAACTGTGGAACGCCTTAAGTTTATTATTCATCTCAATCATAATTATTTTGTGTATTTGCGTAAGTGGTGTGGCACATGGACAGACTACTTTTTTCTTTAATCTAGTGGTATAAGAGGACTTTTGTATGTACTTAGTTAGGTTTAGGTGTTTTAAATATTAGACTTTGTATTTTTTGCGTTAGAACTTTGCTTTATAGATTTAACTCATACGTTAATGTGTTATTTAATGCACTTCCTAGCTTAGTTTGATTTTTGCTCGTGGAAACCTTATCTAGTTACTCCGGTAAAGCTACAACTAAAAATGGCTTCGCGAAGACCAAAAAGGAGTACTATATGGCTTTATTTTAAAGAAGGAGAAAATAAGCCAGATGTAATTATTGCTTGCAAAAGTTGAGCATCAAGAGACTCGCTAGGCAACTTAAAAAGGCATATGATGACTAAACATCCCTCGATTTCTTTGACTGATGAGCCACAACGGTGTAACGGAAACGACCACCAGTAGCAAAGTTACAAAATCTTCGACGAACCCTTCTACATTAACTATCCAACAATCAGTGCCATCAACATCATCAACACAAACTTCGATCACAAATTTTATTCGCAGACCACCGTCCACACGTAAGGTGGAGCAAATTGATCAGCAAGTGGTTGCAATGGTGACTAAAGGTCACCATTCATTACGAATTCTAGAAGAAACACAATTCAAAAAACTAATAGAAATGATTTCCACGTGCCCTGGCTACCAGTTTCCTTCGCGGAAAACATTATCAAATAGGTTAATACCAAAAACGTATACGGAAGTATTTGCAAGTTCCTTTCAGAACATCAAAGAGACAGTTGCTATTTGTTTATGTACTGATTCATGGACATCAAGTGCTAATCAGAACTATATAGCGGTAACAGTTCATTTTATTAATAAATACAGAGATATGCAATCAATTTTATTGGGTTGCATTGATTATAATTAAAGACATACTAGTGCCAATTTAGTCGTTTTTCTAAAGCAAATGATGCAAGATTGGCAAAGTATAAATAAAGTGACATGTATTATAAGCGATAACGCAGTTAATATCATTGCTGCAGTTCGTCTGGGAGAATGTGATCTGTGAGTTGCTTTTCACATTCTTTAAATCTGGTTGTACAGAATGGTTTAAATTGCAGAAATAATAAACAAAGTAAAATCCATAATTTTTAGGAGAAGCTATTCAGCAGAAGCCAATCTAGAAGCAACTCAAAAACAAATGGGTTTACCTTTACTTAAACTCAAGTAAGAATGTGCAACTCGTTGGAACTCCTGTTACATGTTGGAAATGATGGCTAAAATATAAGACGCAGTTATTACTACTCTGGCCTTAATGACAAGTGACCTTAGTCTCGCACCAACAGACTGGACCATTATAGAAATAAAAATATCGATATTGCGTCCATTTTACGAGATAACTAAAGAATTTAGTACCGAAAAGCATGTAAGCTTATCAAAGGTGTTAGTTATTTATCAGTTGATCTCCAAGCATATTGTGAAGTGTTTAACACAACAAACTTATATCCAGAAAGAAATAACAGATTTTATTAACATTTTAAAAACTCAACTTCACACACGATTCCACAATTTAGAGTCGAATTCACTCTATTCAGACACTACTCTGTTAGATTCGAGGTTAAAGCAGAGGGGGTTTCGCACATATGATAGTTATAAAAAGGCCGTCGATAGTTTACGTCGTAAAGTTGCTGAGGTACTACTGCAAAATGAAACGAAAGCCGTAGAGGTAATGCCACAAGTAGAGGAACCCACCCCTGATATGGGAAAACAATTTTCGGGGAGAGTTCGACATGGATGTACCACGCGTTACTCGTTCCGAAAGCACTGTGGCCGTAGGTATTAGATAACTGGACAGATTGTTGTTGCAACCTGCAGATGTTGCAGCCTTTAGGCCATTAAAGTATGGATAGCAAAAATCGGTACTCGAATGGCGTCAATCTTTTTTTCAAGGAAGGCAAACACTTTTAACAAATGAGCCAAGTGCTGATGAGAATTCAGTAAATATTACAAACTTGAGACGTTCCATTGTTAATGACGATGTTCAAACACAGAGTACCACTTCAACTACTGCACCATTGGACATTGCAATGATGACATTTAATCCTAAGAAATCTTTACTGATTTCTTACCTTTATCACAAGAAGTAATAGAAGATACTTCCGTGTGAAATAATTACAATACTACTACACAAGATGGGATGCCTAACATAACAACTAACTATACCGTACACAGGATATTCAAATCGTAAATATATGTACACAAAGCAGAAGTATACGATGACGTACCTGAAAAACAAAAAACAACACAGAAAATAATCATAAAGACTATGCAACATGATTATGACAAAATAGAAGTACTAGAAGACGAAAAGAACAACAATATCTCAATTCACAAAACACTCCCGTTAAATTAAATAATGTGCTTGTACTTCCGAAGACACCACAAAGGAAGGGTCAGAAAAATGCAAAACGGGCTCCCTTCGTATTAACATCTGCAGAATGGAAGACATTGGAAAATGAAAAGATCAGGATTAAAGAAGAAAAGGCAGAAGGCATTATGAAGAGAAAAGGGGAAAGACAGAAGAAACTTCTGGCTTTACAGAACAGTCATAAGACCAATAATCACTTACGGTGCTGTTGTCTGGTGGCAGAGAACAGAGCTAAGCACTGTCATAAACAAATTCCCATGCTCTGCAGTCACTGGCTGTATGCGCACTACGCCAACTGCCGCACTGGAGTTGGCTCTGGGTCTGCCCCCACTGGATTTATTCATATGGCATAAAAGTGAGGGATCGCAATCCAAATTATGGGATCAATTGCTGGAATACGAACCACTAATAGCAGCCCCATGCGATAGAATCCCAAAACACCACACCTTCACAAAAAGATACCACATCCAGATGCAAGAAAAAGACCGAGATCAATCCGGCACTAACGAAGTCCGAATTTACACAGACGGTTCCAAGATGGCCTTCACTTTGGTCCTCGGCCCGTGTGGAACTAGTTACGAGGGGCGATATAATTTTGTTATATTAGTAATCCATATTTGTTTGCTGTAATCGAGGGCATAATTCATCTTTTAATGTTTGGCCAGTCTCGTTAATAACACGAGTTATTTGTTGGAATTGTTATTTTCATTGTAAAGGTAAGTTTTGTTAAGCCGCATGGTTCATGCTTAGCTTATGGAGATTAGTTGTTTTAAATCTTTGTTTATTTGGTTACAGGAATTAATCATAATGCCTCTGCTTTGTTTGTGAAACGTTTTGGAACCCTGGTGAGTAAATTATTGTTCTTACCAGACTTAGATTTCATCTTTTGAGATAGGCAAATAACCTATAATTTTCGTTGTTTCAGCTGTTTATACCTTATTTTCTTTCTTACCTTACTTCAGATCTTTATTTAACCATTAGTTTAATTCTCTTATTAGATTGTAATGTCCTTACGTTACAATTAGTTTTTCACCTCACTACCCGCCGATCCAAGGATTTAGTTTGCTGCGGCCCATTATCAGGAACCTTGGAATACTTACCCCGCCACTACATAATTTTTAAACGATAACTCAAACACAGTATTTTTTACTTTTAATAGGTGCTAAAAATATTTATTTTAGTTTTTGAACGCAAGCTTTCACGATATGGCAGTTCACTTTTTTAATTGTCATAATTTGACAGCTTGGCGCCACATTTTCTAATACCCATTTTGGCGGTCAAATTGTAATTTTATTTATAGAATACTAAATAGTATTATTACGTGATAAAAGTGACTTACGAGAGGATAAAGGTAAGCAGAACACTTTGCATTATTGTTTTTTTAGAATACAGTAACAGTTTTTGTAAATATCAGCAGTATAATTGTGATGTAGAAATACATCAGTATGCAAAATCGGCAAGAAATAGTTTTACTGTAGGTATAATATACTTTTTTATTTTTGACTTATTTGTATGCATATACATAATTTATTCATACGAATTTTATAATTATTTATCCAGAATGTCCCGTAAAGTGGCAGATAAAGATATAGAACAACTTCTGACAGCTTTGGAAGATGGAAATATTTCTGAGGATGGCTTGGAAGATGAAAGTGAAGATGAAGAAACCTTTTTCGCTAATGCAAGAGAAATAGTTCAAGAGTTGGAAGACGAGGATGCAGAAGACCATGAAGATCCTACCTATAGTGATCCACCACTAGTTCAAGATTTGCCTGGCCCATCAAGTCAAATTTTTATTTCATTGCCCATGCAAGAAGGTCATCAACAATATGTAGAATTTGATAAAAGGAAACTCATTTGGAAAAAAGACAGTTTGTTGTTTGACGAATCAAAAATAATTCACCAACCAAGTACAACAGAGTTTGCTATAACTGAACTTGATACACCATATAAATGTTTTTTGCACTACTTCACACCTAAGTTTCTTCAAAAAATTGTTGATGAAACTAACTTATATGCAGTACAGAAAAACCCTTCAATATCTTTCACTATAACTGTTGGGGAGTTAAAAAAATTCATAGGAATTCTTTTATTTATGTCAGTAGAACAATTCCCTAGTGTACGCTCATACTGGCATTCCAAGTTTGGCTACGATCCTGTAAAGAGCGCAATGCCTGTAAATCGGTTTGAGATGATTAGGAGCTACTTACATTTCAACGATAATAATAAACATCTTCCGCGAGATCATTCCGATCACGATCGCCTCCATAAGATTCGGCCTGTGATAGAACAGCTAAATAAGACATTTTCATCAGTTGGAATAGACCAACGACTTTCTATAGATGAGCAGATGTGTTCAACTAAAATTGCACATTTCCTAAAGCAATATTTACCAAATAAGCCTCACAAATGGGGCTATAAGCTTTTTGTTCTCTGTAGTCTTATGGGATATGCTTACAGATTTGAGGTCTATTCTGGTCAAGAAGAAAAAAAAGACAAACCAGCCGACGAACCTGATCTAGGAATAACAAATAACGTCGTTATACGTTTGGCGAGAGCTATACCAAGGATGAACAATCATATTGTATTTTTTGATAATTTTTACACATCCCTGCCCTTGGTAAATTATTTGAATAAACAGGGTATACAATGTGTCGGAACTATTCAGCAAAACAGGCTACCGAATTGTCGACTCCCTGACAAAAAGGAACTTATGAAAACTTCTGTTCCGAGAGGTACATATGAGGAACGCGTTTCCCATTCAGATGGAGTAGACTTTTCGGCCACTGCGTGGAAAGATAATAAAGTCGTCACTCTTTTATCGACTTACGTTGGTGCCGAGCCTGTTGGAAAAGTATCAAGATACGATAAGAAAGCTAAACAAAAAATTGACATCCCTTGTCCCAAAATTGTGCAAGAGTACAATATGCATATGGGCGGAGTCGATCTGATGGACAGTTTTTTAGGACGCTATCGAATTCGAATAAAGAGCCGGAAATGGTATTTACGCTTATTTTATCATCTACTGGACCTCGCTACAATCAATTCATGGGTGCTTATGAAAAAAAATCTAACTGCTAAAGGCGTCACTAAAAAGCAACTGCCTAATCTTGGAGAGTTTCGTAATTGTTTGGCTGACACACTGTGTAATATAGGTATGTCTGGAGGTAGTAAAAGAGGGCGCCCTAGTACTTCCTCTCTAGAACGCGAGCTTCAAATAAAAAAGCAAAAAGGTCCGCAACATCCACTCCCGTCAAAAGATGTGCGCGTAGATGGATTCGAGCATTGGCCTGTATTTGCCAATCGATTACGGTGCAAGATGCCCAATTGTAAGGGCACCACACAATGGTCGTGTACCAAATGTAATATACCATTGTGTCTAAATCAGAGAAATAACTGTTTCAAAGATTTTCATTCACTGCAGTAAGCCTAATTCGACGACAATCGTCCTATAGCATAGTACTTAGGCTGCATTATTAATATTAACTGTAATGCATACTGATGTAGATCTACATCAGTAAGTTTTTTAAAAAAAAATATACTTTTTGGAAAAAAAAAATTTTTTTTTTTATTTTTACCTTTATCTATGTTTAATTATCTACCTGTTTCAATTTATTGCATTTAAAAAGGAAAAATTATGCATTTAAGGGTTAAGATACCATGTACTCTACAGACACTACGGGATAATAAACTGCCACTTGAACTTAACATCTTTTTATTTAATAGCTGCCCCCCATCCTAGATTAAAAGTCTAGCGCTGACCGAGCTGTTCGAGGCATTCATTGTATTTGTGGTTAGTTGTCTGTGTTCATTTAAGGTTAAGGCACCTGGCGCCCGAGATTATTAGTTTTGTTAGGATTTGTGGTGACACCAGTTAGTTTATTCGTTTATTTGGAACATAGATAACATTAACATTACACAATTACATTCAAATTTTTTTTTTTAATTTTTTTATATTACAAGGCACAAGACTTAATTTTCATATTATTTTATTTTATTTTATACATTATATTATATTATTTTGATGATTAGAGGCTATGATGGTAAAAAAAAATTGTTTTAGGAGAACTTACTTTAAGGAATTTTTTTTTTTAGTTACTTTTAAATGTGACAGTTTTTCTAGTTTGTATACAAAAGAAGTTTTATAATGTTAACTAAAATTAAAATAATAATAAAGTTTTGTTGATTTTTTTTATGTTTTATTATGTAATGTAATTATGTGTAATATTAATTTTATGTGTGATATTTGCGCTTTCTATGAGAAAGAAAACTTATTATTGTGACTTTGATAAAGCCGAAACCTGTTTTTGCTGATCTCTGCTAGTATTAATTGTTTAAATACTAACTTATTATAAGATTTTGAAGACTGTTCAATTTGCTGTAGATTATATGTGACAGCCCAATGTGCTTAATAAAGAACAAAAGCTATTGGTGCTTTTTCTTTTTGTCTGACAAGCCTAAATCAATATTATAACATCCCTAAAACATGACAGCTGTATATATTGCGGTTAACCAGATATGAACAGTTTTTGATCTGGGCGTCCAGTACTTTATTAATTAGTTCTAATATTAGGACATTGGGTCTTCCTCGGAAGTACCCTCTTTGCAACTGGGATGTAGGCGGATAACAATTTTACAAAAAAATGTTTCTTCAAAAACTCATTTCTATTTGAATAATCAAATCATAAACTGTTTTTAAAATACATTTTAGACCTATTATTATACTTTATCACTGAGTTATAAACCATTATGTAAAAGTCATGATTGTCAAAATGTTTCTAGCGATTGCCCAAAAACCTGTTTCAAGCTATGTCGTTCCTTTTTTTCGAGTGCGGATATCTAAATAACATCCGTAATAGTTTTTTACAAAATAAAAGATAATTTTCTATGACTTACCCACTTTTAAAAGCCCTTCATTTAAAATTGAGTAATTTGGTTTTTCATTTTCCGTACAGTGACCACGTTTACTTGATTGCATTGTTTTATTGTTGTTATCTTTGCCTTATTATAATAACATTATTTTCTATATGTATTATTATTATGAAACATACAAATAAAGTTTTAATTTCTCCATAAAAAAGTCAGTTATTTGATGTCATATGTCATGAGCCTGTGAGGTTGCCTGTTTTTCATTTGTTAGAATGAGGTATATTTTCTTGGAAATTACAAAAATATATATCTTGGATTATTATATATATTGGTTGGATATTACAAGAATATATATCAATTTTTAATGTGAGTCTTTTTTCTTAGAGTCTTTGAAGACTTAAATATATAGCAAAAACACATATAAACAATAAAATTGAAGATCAGCGTTTAGTAACAGTAACTAGGTACTTGAGATGACGTGACGCCAGTGTTGCCAACCTCAAAAAACTAAAAAACAGTAACTCACCTATAAAAAAACAGTAGAAAACAGTAGGTAAAGTGAAAAAAGGCTAGTCGATATTCTGTTGCGTAATTTGGTTTTGACGAATTTTCGTTAATTTGTAACTACATTACATCGCAGAAAGTAACCGAATGGAATAATCTAAATGTTTCCACGGAAACTCGCTGGGTGGAAGTATTCACACACTTTCAAGCCAACAATCTTCAGCATGAAAACTTTTCTATTTTAATTAATAAACTGAGAAAACCCAGTTACAAATTTCAGTTCTAAAGGCGATGATGATAATTAAAGTGAATATAAAAGAAACATGCTAAGAGTTTTATTCTTACTTAAAATCATCACCATCTATATTAAAGCAAATTTGTTCCTCTGATAGACATAAATATAACTAAACGTTTCGGGTATATATATATTTTTAATTTGTGAAATGTGTAAATGAATAAATAACATTAAAAAAATGTTTTTTTTTTCATTACCTACCTGTTAATTAACCTAAATAAACCAATGTCCCGTTTTGAGTCAAAAAATAAATGGCCACGTTATGTATACCACATTTTCGGTCACACTTACACGCTGAACAAAAAAGATAGGTGTCACCTTTAGTGCTTGTAGCTTGTCTTTAACCAGCCTTTGAACCTTTTATCTTTAACCACGAATTTATAAATTTCTGTTCATATTTCACAATAATCTTTTTAGGAGAACTTTTGTCAGTCGATGAATCACTGCTAATTGTATTATAGACGTTGTAAATATTATTATTCAATTTAAACGGCGGAATCACATGTACGTTAATAATTCACTTGTAATATGTAGCCATAGAATCCAATATACGGTACAATACGGCTGTAACCTGTAGCTATCATTCTATATATATACACTGGGAACTCCCGTGTATAAAATTTGACTGTCAATCACATAGATTGTGGTCGGGGAATTCCCTCAAATGCCGACAAGTGTAGATACTGCCATCTAGTGTCACTGCATTATATTTGATAACTAGACATTTAACTATTTATAAAAAAATATTTGTATAATGTAATAGGTGGCGCTGAACGCTAATTGAAAAACAGTAAAAATTAGGAATGAAACAGAAAACAGGGGCATCAACGTAAAAACAGTAAATCTACTGTTAAAACAGTAGGGTTGGTAACACTGCGTGACGCCTTGACGGTCTGTTTCTTTTTTTTTTTGGAATTTAATGACCTGGTAACTAAGACCTTTAAGTCAAGTCTTATTTTATTTGAACAAACATTACACTTTCACATTACTTCATTTTAAATTGTTTTAATAGTGTTTTTAATATATTTATATATTAGTTTGTAAGTGTTTTTGTCTTTTAATAACTGTTCTAGTGGCGGCGGGCGGGATGAATTATTACACTTAATTTTCACATTACTGAGTTCACTAGCCAACACTAATCTGTCAAGCAAGAATTTTTAGCGACCAAAAATCAGATGTTCTATGGTTCCTTCTTGGGATTCGCAATATGGGCATGTATTGTCTGTAATAATGCCAAGTCTAGAAAGGTGTGACAGTGCAGTATTATGGCCATAGCGCAATCTATTTATCGTAGTTATAAAGTCTCGGCTGGCTTCTTTCACTCTATTGTACCAGGGTGTAACAGGCAATCTTTCTTGAATATTTCCATACCACGTTCTTTTTATGTCTTGGTCTTTCTTCCACATTTCTAGCCATAACTTACATACATTTTCATTGATAATTTGCAGAAAATCAGTCATAGGAATTTCCATTGCATTTCTAACATCAACAGCATTATTACCTTCATATGTGGTTTTATCAACTATTTCATTGCCCAAGATACCTCGGTGAGAAGGTACCCATAGAAAATAAATTTTTATGTGCTTAAGATAATATTGATAAATTATTTCTTTGATAAAATACAGAATATAATTTGACTTAATCGAGAGTGTAAGGTTAGGTAAGGCTTTTATCAAACTCATTGAATCAGAAACAATCAAAAAGTATTTATAATTGTTAATTTGGCGGATACGTAATAAAGCCTGATAAACCGCATATGCCTCTGCTGTAAATATAGTACATGTATTGTGCAGAACAAAGCTTTGAGAGAATTTTATATGTGGATCATAAATAGCGGAATGTACATAATCATTCCCCTTACTGCCATCAGTGTAAATAATATAATGCTTACTATTATCTGCCAAAAACTGTAGCATATCTGAATTATTATTAATTAGATTTTGCAATACTTCGATGGGATGTGAAATACACTGATAAGAGAAAGACTAACATGGCCATGGGCACTGTCTTCTAATATGAGTAAAAGTATTCTTTATTTCTAGCAATATTTTGGACAATGTTGGAGATTTGCCATTCAAAAGATTGTCTCCTGTTGTTAGAGGCCCAGGAGTTCCACTTACAGAAGGTACAATTTTGTTAATAATTCCCCTGTGATTTGCAGCAATTAATTTAAGACAAAATCTCTCTGCAAGTAGAATGCGTCTCAAAATTAAGGGCAACAATTTATTCTCCACTTCCATGGCCCTTATGGGAGTAGAGCACATTGCACCAGAAATAATTCTCAAAGCCTTGTCCTGCAATTGATCCAGTTTATTTACATGGGTACTGTTCATATACACTAGTGAACCATAATCAAAATGACTTCTAACTATACTTTTATATAAATTAAGACATAAATTCAAGACATTTTTTTATATTCAAACCTTTTAAAGCATTATATGATATATATTTAATATGTTCCTGAAAAGTTAATTTACTATCTATGACTATGCGTAAAAATTTCTTTGCATTTACTGGGTTTATAAATTCGCCATTATAAACTACTTTTGAATTAGAATTCTCATTTCCAAATATCATGATACTGCTTTTAGAGGCATTAATTTTTATATATAGTACATCATTATAATATTGAAATAGTTGAGACAAGGCTCTGTAAATATTGTTAATTGCAATTTCTACAATATAATTACTACTGTACAAAACAATATCATCAGCAAACTGCAAAATATCTACATTACTATTCACATATTTACAGATTTCACTTGTATAAATATTGTATAGCAAAGGAGATAGTGTAGCACCCTGCATTATACTCCTAGATGCACATTATGGACCATATAGTGTATTGTTATATCTTACATAGTGTTCTATTATTCAAAAAATTATATATCCATTTACATACTTGGCCAGGTATACCAAGCCTAAACATAACTTGTACTAGTAAAACAGGATCTAAGCTGTCAAATGCACCTTGAACATCTAGGAATACACAAACTGTGTGTAACTTTTTTTCCTTTGCATGTTTCAGGTCCAAAATTAAAGAAATGACACTGTCTGCACAGCTTCGTCCTCAACGAAATCCGTATTGTATATGTGGAATGATGCCATTAGATTCTATATACCAATCCAAACGATTTTTAATAATGTTTTCAAATATTTTGCCTAAACATGAAGAGAGTGATATGGGCCTACAAGAGTTTGCTAGCTCTGTAGGTTTATCTGGTTTGAGTATTGGAATGACACATTTTGTTTTCCATGATTGTGGAATACATTTACAATGCCAAAGTACATTCAGGATATTGAGAAACAATTTTATTGCAGATTCGTCTAAATTTTTAATAATACAATAGGGGAAATCATCTAATCCAGGTGTAGGGTCTTTCCGAGATAACAAACTAATTTTAAACTCGGACCATGTAAATTTTAGCGAAAATTTTGACTTTAAACTATCATTATTTAATTCGAAAATATTACCTAAACTACCAACATCATTTAAATTGCTATCGTCGGATAATTTGTCTAGAAAGAGATAAACTCATCTTTATGTGATTTATTGCCAGCTTTTATACCTTTAAACATTTTAAGAAGGTTACAAATCTTACTAATAGGAGTAGTTCTATTGAAAGAGTTACACAAGTTATCCCAGCCTATTCTCTTTTGCTCTGATATAGTCCTTTTTTTAAGTGCATCTTTTCTTTTGTAACATTGATATAATACTTACATAGATGAGTAATTACCGCCTAAAATCGTTGCTACTGCACATCTGTCCACACGCATATGCGTAGCAAACGTCAATTCAGTGTTCAATGTGGCGTCAACCGAGTTGAACATAGCGACACATGACAGTAACAATCGCCAAAATGGGTAAATGCGTAGTGAAAGAATGCGATTCAAGGTCACAAAACCATAATAAATCATGCGGAATTACTTATCACGTGTAAGTTTATGGTTTCTGTATTGATAATATCGTAAATAAGGCTATAATTGAAATAAAACATTGATAATTGTAATTTAGAGTCAGTGTTACCACTAAAAAATCATTTTTGTTTTCCCACATTAGTGGGAGAATTTATAATTTATGAAATAATTTGCTTTATACTGTTTTTAAACATTTTGTCAATAATAATAAAATATAGGAAGAACGGTAGTTGTTAGGGCTGAATCGATCACTTTTTTTAGGGACCCGCTGAACGTTCACCTTCTGCCAAGCTCGCAGTGCTGGAGACTTTTGTATAAAAGAATTAATTCATTCATTCATTCATTTTTCGTAATTAATTATCAAATATAAATAACAATTGTACAAAAAAATATATGAAATAAAAAAGTAAATAAATATAAATAAAAAACAAAAAAAATTTTTTTTTTTTATTTGTATTTTAAAATATTAAAAGAATTTGCAATACACCCTGGGGATTATTTATTATCAGTACAAGTTGATCATTCACTTTTACTATTAAATGCCATTATTTATACATAGGTAAAAATAAGATTGTATCATGAAAGTAAAATATTCACAGAAACTTATAAAAGAGAGTCTGAAAGACAATTGTATACAAAACTGATGCTTCATAGCGGAGTTTGATTTTACACTGAATATAAACCCTTTTAACCAAATATTTCTAGTTATTTTATTATTTATACCTATTCCATTCAATTCGAAATATATTATTTAAAATATTTAAATTAATTTATTTTATTACAAAATTGTTTAAAAAAAAAATTGTTTCTCGGTTGTTATGGGTACAATTTCATACGGTAGTCAACACTGGCCCACCATCGTAAAGTTATGTCTTTGTCTTTGTCTAATCCGAGCGATGGTATTGTTCTTGTCTCGCGTGTAAATGAGACATAAATATGTTTACTGTCAAATGTTTAGTGGTATCAAAGCTACGTCGTCAAAGTTCAAAAGTGGTTACACTTTTTTCGACGTGTGATAATGAGGTTTGCTTCTCTAGTGTTGTTTTAACTCAATGTTTTGTAATCTAAATAGTTCTCCATAGTAGGTTCACTTCTATAACGTTTCAATGCATCGTAAGAGGATTAGGTACACTTTTCTCGCAAATGTCATTCCACCAGGGAGCTGGAGGTCTGCTTTTAAAATTATTTGGTTTAGTGAGTTTAGGGATTGTCATTTCTTTTAAAGTATTTAATTGAGAACAAAAATCTTTGTAGGTTGAGATAGGATCATATAATTTTAATACTAAATCATTAAATATTGTTTTAGAAATAATTTCATACTTTGTCCAATCTACTTTTTTATAGGTATATAAACCTATCAACAGGGGGATTAATATGATATTTATCTATACGTAGTGATATCTCTGTTATTGTGGGAAGTGGAAGCTGCCCATGGCATCATCATGCACCGACTACTCGCATATTGAGGCGAGGTTAGCACTACTAAATATAGTTGTGTAGCTCCCGAGTGAGTGATATAAAAGATATATATCATTTACGGCGATAAAATGTACCACTCACTCACACTAGATCCGAATATATCAGTAACTCAGTACTAGCTCACTAGATCACTAGCTCAACGACGCCGATCTTTGTTTCATGAGCGAGTAAGACTACAGATAAATGAGTGAGATAGATGATGGTTGAGTTCACGCAAGTTTCTTTATGCAAAATGCATTGATATAATACTTACACTAATACTTACACTATACGTGTTGTTTTAACTCAATGGCAAAATGTACATTATTTTTATAGGATCAAAGTTTAAAATTACTTAAGAATGAAGCCTAAATCATACATAATTTGATTTTCCTTGTACTTGTACAAGGAAAATCAAATTATGTATGATTTTTATTATACAACCTAAAAAAAAGTACAAGAAATAATTTCTTATGTTTAATTATTAAATAAAAGGCTGTTAATAATTATGTAATCTTATCAAAATGAATAACTTTGTATTTAAAAAAAATAGGTTAAAAATGTAGTTTCAAAAACTGAATTTAGGTTTATATGAAAATAAAGAAAGATTCGTAAGGCGAGAGAGGCTTGAAGTGAGTGAAATAGGAGTATATTGAGCTAAACGATCTAGATGAAGAAATGAATTAATTGAGAGACCAATCAATTGAATCGGATCAATGAGCTAGTGAGCTAAACGAGTTAGTGAGCTAGTGAGCTAGATGAGTGATATATATCTTTAGAGCGAAATGATATGTATCAATCTTTTCAGCTCAGTGATACATTTTGCGCATCACTACTACTAAAGCTACTGTCGTTCGGGGCAGTAATGTCATATCTACCAACTTTTTGGTAGATCAAGCAATTTTCACTTCACCTATCTACCACCCTGGACCTAAAAACTACCTATTTTTTTAATTAGTTTGACATATCACCACTGAATTATTTTTCTATCGACGAGTGACGTTGAGATGTGGTTGCGCGAGCCATGCGACGTTGCGTCAAGCAAAGTCAAGTACAAGAGTCCAGACTATACACCACAAAAAAAAGTCAGCAACAGTTCGCCGTTCGCGCCATTTCGCGCCCATAGACATTATTATACTGTTCTGTGGCCCATTCCCAAACAACCAACCGTTTGTTGCGGCATCAATGGTGAATCTTTGTTCCTGTTTTGTTGTTATAACTAAATAACTACGTATAAACGGTGCTAATTGCTATTTGTTCTGTGTTGCGTGCATTTATTAATATAATGGATTCTGACAGCAGTGAAAACGATGCACAGAGTTCTAGGTTAGGAACTCCGCCACGAAAAGCTGGAAAATGGCACTATGACCAAAAATATTCGAAATTATGGGAGAAGGACAAGGCAAATTCCTTGTTGGCTTCAAGAAAGTACCAAGGGTGAAGGATATTTTTATTGTAAATCATGTAGGTGTGATCTTAAGTGTGCTGGTGGAAGATTTATCCTAAATAACCATGCTAATAGTTTAAAGCATGTAGCACGTGTGAAAGGTGAACATCTATTCCGTGGTTTTAAATATATTATTTATTATTTTATTATTTTATCAGTTTAGTTCAATTAATATTGAATAATTAATTTTACAAACGAAATTACTAACAATGAATTAATTTATCATTGATTGCCTATGATTGTGCATGAATATATTTTAAATCCTAATTTGTTAAATATATAAAACACCAATCTTTTAAAAAGTAACTGTTAAGAAATGTGACAAACAAAAATTATATTAATTATCTATGGTAACATTGTTGTTAATCTGTGGTAGTAAAAAAAGCTATGATCGAAAAGTGTGAAGAAAAATGGATGATGTAAAAATGTTATTGTGAAATAAAAATAAAGTATTTGTGTTTTGTAATGCAAAAATCAAGATGCTGCCAGCAAATTTAAGATGGTAGCAGAACAGTGGTTGTCTCATTTGTAAGTTTGATAAAGTTTGAATACACGATGCCCAACGAAAGCTTTGTACCTGTGCCAAAGTTTGATTGCTCGGTTAATTATGATGAATGGCGGTTGCAGTTTATATATTTGATGAAGTATAAGAATTGCTCTGATGTAATCGAGCATGCAGACCGGCCTGAAACTCAAGGAAGAAGACTGGAAGCAGTAAAGTAATAAGGCTATGTACTTTCTATCATTAGCCGTTTAATCGGATAAAATGGTAAATTGCGACACACCAATGCAAGTAATTGACAAATTGGATAAATTGTACTTGTGTAAATCTGAGTCTAAACAGCTATTAATTGAAAAACAGTTAAGCGGTCTGAAATATGCAGATGGTGAAGATCCTGAACAGTTCTTTGAAAAATATGAAAGAAAAGTCATTGAATTGCATCATGCTGGTGGTGATACCAGTAGAAGAAGGAAATTAAGATATTTAATTATGTGTTTACCTGGTAGTTGTCATATTATTGAAACTATTGATATATTACCAGAAAAAGAGAGAACTGTTGATTATGTCCGTCAGAAATTGATAGAAAGAATATAGGTTGTGTCACATTATCAGATGCCACCGCAGCATATAGATTAGCAGCTAAAGATGAGAGGCTAGTTTCAATGGTGGGGAAATCCTCATTACAGCAGCGGAACATCCTACAGGATTTTTTCCAAGATGTTGTCAGAGCAACCCTATTTTTATTTGGGAATTTTCCATACAAGAAGTAATCCTTGGAGATCCATGTCTCTTCTATCTTAAGAGGAGGCCCAATATATCGCTCATTCACAAAAAGGATGTCACAACTAAAAATGAATAACTTTTGGGAATCAAGGTTTTAAACTTTGTGATTTAAATTATAAATATATATTCATTACAAGACTGTAATTCTAAATTTATTTTATTCGGCACATATTTGAATTTTGGAAAAGTGTTATTTCTGAGTAAAACGTATTTAATTTTATTATATTTTTTGTGTTAAGTGTTACTAGGTACTAATTGTGACATTTTTCTAGAAAAAAATTACTTATAATTTTTAAACTATCCATCTTGTGTCATTATTGACAGTAAATACTTTGTTAATCTTGAAATCAAACTAAAATATGACACTTTAGAAAATAAAGGTTGTATTTATTTGCTCTTATGAAAATGCATAAAATAGAATATCAGTCTTTTACTTAAAAACTATAAACTTAATAATATAATTAAATAATATAATTAATAATTAAACATAATATCAATTAAGTAATTTGTTATGACATTATCAGTCTCATAATATTTCAATCACATAGCATAAATTATTAATCATAAGATATTACTTTTAATTTAAAGTTTATTACTTTTAATAACTCTTTGTTTTCTGTTTTCTTTTCTATTTATTTTCCTTTTTCTTCTTTTGTTAAATAAGCACTAACATACTAACATAGTATATAAGTACAATTTGTTATTAATCCTAACTAACCATTTATGGATACGTAATAAAGTCTCATTATTATTATTATTATAAAGTAACCAGAAGCTTCTACAAAAAGAAATGAAAACTAAAGAAAAAAAAACAACTTAAAATCAAGAACTTCTTATAAAAAACTATCAAAACCAAAACTTATTTTTTAGTAAAACAGATACAAACAAAATTATAAAGAATTATAAAAAGGAGCATAAAAACTTGGTATGGCTTTTTTATTTAATAAGCCTAGTAAACCGTCTTTCTTCTTCTTACATAATCCTGGACGTTGATTGTATGCATTTTTCACCTCTATATCAATACTTCTTTTCTTTTTTATTACTTGAGCTCTCTTAAAATCATTTTCTTTGTAGGATGTTTTAAAAAAATGTCACGTGGATGATCCCTTTCTAGTTTAACAACTTTGATGCCAATGAATTTGACAGGATCTCCATTTTCATCTTTTGTTATATCAAATCCCATTTGTGAACACACATCCTTCCAGTCTAGAAAGTCTTGATACGACATCATATTAACTTTAAAGGGCTCCGGATTAGACCTGGCAGTTTTAACTGCACTGATGAACGCCTCGGGAGTGTACATAGGACCGCCTCGAACTTGTTTTTTAATCTGACGTTTTATTAAAGAGTGAGCTGAGTCACTCTCATTCTGAGTGTGCCCTTTAATCAAATACTTATGAGTGATGGTCTTAATATTTTGGCAACTTTGCATAGCAAATAAGTACATTGATAGCATCATTTTATTTTTTTGTTGACCGACGCAATTGTCGGAATAAAAGATAATTTCTATGTCGTTACCAGTCGAGGCAATCTTTTGTATGTATTTAAAAACGCACGTCCCCAAATCATTTACACCTCTATTCCCAGTAGCTTCGTCCCAAATATAACAATCGACTGTTTTAGATTTCAGCTCATATATTGTAAAGTTAAATACATTAAGCTTACTCAGGTAGTAGAATAGGGAAGTATCTCCCTTCGGGCATTGGAATACCGCCTGTAGGTCATACACAGCAGTAATCACGTTGTCATTTTCTTTATCCTTGGCTTTTTCTTCCCTGCAAATATCTTTTTCTATCAAATGCGACTCATAATATTCCTTTCTATTTTCTTTATATTCATTTTCACAGTTTTCGTAAATAGCACAAGTATCACAACGATCTTTTTTTGGTTTAAAGAAGGAAATGTTATAATCTTCTGTAAATATCTTATAAAATAACATGTAATTTCCGTAAGGTACATTCTGGCGTTTAGAAATGTCTACATAGTCTTTATGTACCTCAGCAATTGTTCTGCTACCGTCTATGAATTCTTTTGATGTATTCGCACGAGTATAGTGAGAATCGATTTTCGTTATTGATTCTATGTGTGTTTTTATAGCCGATCGAATTGATTCATCAATTTTTGGATGATTTGAGTGTTTTCCTCTGGTATCACCTGCCAAAATAGTACCAGCAAGTTTATTGCGTTTGAACATCACAGTGCGTATCGGACGATCAGTGATTCCGAGCGTATTCTTAAAAAAAAGTTTGCAAACTCTTACCTTTTCGCCACCCAAAGTAAAAAATAATGCATTATTGTACTCCCTCTTATTTCTAGTGCCACCTTCTCTAACATATCGATATTTAGGTTTAATGGCAGTCATACAATTTGATAAGTAATTCCAATGTTTCTCTACGTCTCCTATCTGCCAATACTCATCGAATAACATCTTCCTGTCCATTTCTGTAAATGTTGTACTACAACGCAGCCTACATTTTTCGTTGCAAGGTTTCTGCATTTTACGTTCAGGTTCAACTTTTTTTGTAGCTGTACTCTTATAAGATTTCCCTGTATTCTTTAGTCTTTTAACAATATTTTTCTTCCAACAACTTTCGTTGCGCATGCGTTTTCTACCACTTTTAATATCTGCCTCTGGAATGTTACTAGGGCCAGCATAGGATAATTCTTCTGTCTGTGTCATTTTTTCGTGAACTCCAGAGTGTGTCAAGCCATTAGCGTTAGCTTCCATTAAATCATCGATCGAAGAAATTAATGGCGATGCTGGTTGCATAAGGTTTTCTGGTTGGTAAAGAGGATCTTTAACGGAGTCATCGCTATCTGTAAAATAAGAAATTTTACAAATAATTATATAAGAATTTAAAAACACAAAACAGATACACAAGTTTACCTAAGAAGTAAAATACCTTCTTTGTATGACGAAGAAGAGGAGCTATTTCTGGAAGATAAGCTGCTTGAAGTACTAGAGGAGCTTGATCTTAACCGTGGAGTTGCAGTAGGTTGATTATTATCTATTTTAAATTCACAATTTAAAGTGTGGCTACCCTCGTTATTCGCTAAAAACAGAAAACATCAACATTTATCTATGAATAAAAGTAGCTATAAATATTAAACATTCAAAATAAAGAAACGTTTACCTATTTCATCCATTAAAACGTCCGGCGTTTTATTGTTATCATTACTGGGGGTAACTAAGGCCAATATTTTCCTCCCTCTGCTAGAAGTCATAGTAGATATTTCGTAATAGTGCAGCGTCTAAAACCAAATAATAATTGACAACAACGTAATAACATAAAATATGCATACAAAACTTCATCGGCTTTTAGCATCAACAGCGATTTTTTGCAAAATGTGCCGTTAAGGAATTTACAAATGTTCTTTTACTTATTGTAACGTATCAAGTGAAAATAATTAACAGGCAATTAATATCTATTATTATTAATAACGACACACCAACAAATGTGACCTAAAATTTAACTACAAAATTTTAATTGTACAATGTCACAAATAAATATATGTATGTCGTTATTTCATAAAATTATTATATCAGTTTTTACTTACATTTTATAGAAGAACGTCTTAAAACGAAATATGGCACCTTTTCACTAAACTATTACGTGAGCTCACTTTTACAAACTCGTGACAACTGGAAAGAGTCGGTGTTGAAAAAAGTGATGTGCGCGAGTGAGATCGATATAGAATGACACAACTTCTCTCACTCCTTCATTTAACGGTTAGGAGTTATGCTGTTAACGCAGTAAATAAAGTAAAAAATTCGCAATCTTTGTGTATAAGTAACTCTAAATCACCGTTTGTTGAGATGTGACGTCCTTCTTGTGAATGAGCGATATGATAATTTTTCCTCAAGAGCAGATATAAATTGGTTTACTTGATTGACAGTGACCTCTTCAGGTAATGTTTCAGTAAGTTCTATAAGTAACATTTGATTATGTCCTTGTCCCATAATTGATAATTTGAAATAGAACTCTTCAGCAACAAGCCTGATAAGATTTACTGTCCATAAAGTCCAGCCTTTTTGCCTCAAACCCTCTATTCCACCAAGATGATACTTCCAACAACCAAGATCTGTCTTTAATCCTGTAGGGGTGACAGTAGGAAGATATGAAAAAAATAAAATAAGCCTTTATTGCTGTTTAAACTTACATAACATTGACTTTAATGAACTACCTTAATTTTTTTTTTTTAATTAATATTATCCTGCTTATATTTAACTTCGTATATCGACGTTCGGTACAAAAACAGCTTGTCTTTCGACATAGGCCTCCTCCAAAGATTTCCATTTCGCCCTGTCTTTTGCTATTCGGAACCATTCTGGACCAGCCACCTTTTTTATATCGTCCTCCCATCTTTTAGTTTGTCGCTCTTGGGTACCACTCCGTTACAATTTTCGTCCATTTCTCTTGTTTTTCCCTTAACATATGTCCTGTCCATTGCCATTTCAGTGTTCGATATAATGAATTTGCCTGCTTGAATTGTGTTTTGTTTTTAATTTCTGTTAGTCTAACTTTATCTCTTCTCTTGACTTCAATAACACTCCTCTCTATGCTATTTTGGCAGACGTTTATTTTATTTGTTAAGGTTTCTGTTAAAGCCTAAGTTTGACAGCCATATGTTAAACATGGCAGAATGCACATATTGTAGACTACTTTTTGCTTTAATTGGCATGTCTCTCCTTCATAACTTCACTTAATGACTAGTATCTTTTCCATGTATTGGCTATCCTCCTATCTACTTCCTTATGCATGGTTCTTGTAGGTGATATTAATTGTCCTAGGTATATATATTCATCTACGTATTCTATTTCCTGCATGTTTACTGTGATCTTTTGTGACTTTGAGGAATTAGTCATAATTTTTGTTTTTGTGATGTTCATTGTGTAACATAAAAAAAATTAAAAAAAAAATGTTTTTTAATGTAAATGTGAATGTTAATGTAATCTAATGTTCATATAAATGAATTAACTAACTGGTGCGGCACCACAAATTCCAACAAAACTAATAATCTCGGGCGCCAGGTGCCTTTACCTTAAATGAACACAGACAACTAACAACAAATACAATGAATGCCTCGAACAGCTCGGTCAGCGCTAGACTTTTAATCTAGGATGGGGGGCAGCTATCAAATACAAAGATGTTAAGTTTAAGTGGCAGTTTATTATCCCGTAGTGTCTGTAGAGTACATGGTATATTATAGGTCTAATTACAAATGTAATTCTTATACTCTAATTAGTATTGTCATTAATGCAATCTGATTACCTTGTTAAAACAAATTAAAAGTAAATATTTTTTAAAGAGTCGCATAAAGACTGATAAATAGGTAAAGATTTAAGGGTAGTTGTCACAACGACCTACTCCCATATTAAAAATAACACCCCTTAGAGCCTGCAGTATCCGTTGTAACAACGCCGACAAAATTAATACAACAAAAAAACGTACCCAATGACTTTGGCTCTGTCCGTATGAAATTAGGGTAAAATTAAGTCTTATAAACCTCACTCGTGCTCCCACGTGGTTGTAGTGGCGGGGTAAGTATTCCAAGGTTCCTGATAATGGGCTACAGCTAAAGAACTTTTCCTGCCATTATAGGTACACACACTTCGCAGCAAACTAAATCCTTGGATTGAGCAGGTAGTGACGTAAAAACTAATTGTAACGTAAGGACATTACAATCTAATAAGAGAATTAGAATTGAGGTAAAGTAAAGAACTGAAGTAAAGTAAGAAACCCTGTTACTCTGCAACAACGAAAATTATAGGTTATTTGCCTATCTCCAATGAAGAAGTCAAAGTCTGGTAAGATTCAATAATTTACTCACCAATGTTCCAAAACGTTTCACAAATAAATCAGAGGCCTTACGAATAATTCCTGTAACCAAACAAACAAAGATTTAAAACAACTAGTCTCTTAAGCCAAGTATGAAACATGCTGCTGAACAAAACTTACCAAAACAGTTAAAATAACGATTCCAACAAACAACTCGTGTCCTTAACGAGACTGGCCAACAATAAAAGGTGAATTATTCTTCTGATTGCAACAATTGAAAATAGATTACAAATGTGAAAAAAATTATAATCCCTCGACCTATCTAATTTCACCACGGGCAGACGTCAAAGTGAATAACCCATGTTGCCAGAGATAAAGTTCCGTTTCGCCCTAGAATGCGACAAAAAATGTTGCCAGAACAAGAAAAAACTAAAATCGATACAATTCCATAGTCGATTAGAGCGGACCATATCCACCGTGACGCCGTCTCTCGGAGCTTACTGAAACGTCATAAAATTCAACTGTCAAACCAAAAACACGTCGATAATTAAATTTTCTGTAATGGTGCGAAATGCACCGTTACAATTGTTAGTCCTGCTACTGCACTCTGGTCTGATAGCTGTTGTAGCATTTGTTGTAATGTTCTAGGACATTCAGAGAACAGTATAAGATCGTCTGCAAAACGTAGATAACTTAGATTTTCGCCGTTAATCTTGAGCCCTTGATCTTCCCAATCTAGGTTCCTGATTATCCTCTCCAGTCCTGCCGAAAATAATTTAGGTGAGCTAGGGTCGCCTTGACGAACGCCTCGTTCTATAGAGAATTTCTCCCCTAATTTTTCAGATCTGACTTGTGCTGTCCTTTGGAGTATATATTCTTTAAGATTCTTATATATCCGTCCTGTATATTTTGCTCTCGCAGAGCTTCCCAGATGTACCCGTGTTCCAGGGAGTCAAAAGCCTTATTATAGTCTACGAATCCTAAGAAGTATATTTTATTATACTCGTTGTATTTTTGTAGGACTTGTCTTAGAACGTGGATGTGATCTATGGTTGAAAATTTACTTCGGAAACCCGCTTGTTCTCTTGGCTGGTTTTCGTCGAGTACTCTGGTAATTCTGGACAGAATAATTTTTGAAAAGACTATAAATCTGTGGCCATAGGTCAGAATATGATAAATACAATTTCATTACTTTACAGGAGAAGCAATTAAATTATTAAGAAATCTTGAAGCTACTATTAAAATATGAGACACTCGCAATATTGAAAATATATATTTTTTTTAATTAAGTAAATGTGTTACTGATTTGTAAAAATACTTATAATTCATTGTGGAATGCGTAGTATTCACGTATTGTTTTTTTTTTTAAAGAATGGTTGCACTTGTCACACTGTGATCAAAAGAAGTAGGTAGTTATCGTGTTATGATCATAAATGAAAGACGAATATGAGAAAAATACTTTATTTAAATTTAAAATGATAATGCAGAATATTTGGCATATAAAATTGCACTCGAAGCAAAAAGAAAAAAAAAGAAAATAGACGTAATAAAATAGTAATTTCTATTCAGAATCGGAATTATAATCACTAATATGTGATGTGTCTACTACGTCATTGTCAGACTTTATTACATTCTTATAGAAATCATGGTACACTGGATCAATGTACTGTAATAAAGATAAAATATCCTTATGTTTTTCTTTACTTATTAATAATGGCCGATTACGCCGCCTTACGAATATCCATTAAAGGCTGATTATTTCGACTGGCTCTGACTTTTCTCTTCATGTCACATATTTTAAACTCGTCTTCCACTCGCAGTGAATATTTAAAAGAAAAGAAACAAGGATGTTCTTTCTCGACACGTATCCAAAATATATTACGCCACAGAAAAGGATCGTTATTCTGATCTTTGGTCTTCTTTATAAGCGACTGCTTTAGAATGCTCGAAAATGCAAAAATGTCATCTTATGACAACTCTATCACAGTGAACTTACTGCTGACCATTCTCACAAGCATGTACCAGTCATTTGGAATTGAAATTCTTCCATTATATTTCTTCTTGGCACGCTCGATTGAGGCATGGTCAGCATCACACTCTAAATGTGTGTGACCAGGAACTAAAAATTTGTGATCTATAGTCTTCAAACCAATTATCTGCGTAAGCGTGTAGTTATATACAACAGGTAATGTATTGTTGCGGGTTTGCCCGGGACATGTATCTGAATAAATAATAACGTGTTCTGTTTCTTCGGGCAAACTCATTATAAACATTTTTAGGCAAGATGCTATTTCGTCAGCACCACGTTGCGCGATAGCTTCATGCCACATGAAGCAAGTAGTTTTCCCTGTGTTACAATTTCTGACTGTGAAATTAAAAGTCCATAGCTTCCTTTTATAAAATGCTACACTAGTATTTAAGTATGGTGTAGCGAGACACTGCTGTAAATCACACACAGCGACAACGATAGTATTTCCTGATAACTTGGCACGTTGTTTATCGAAAGATTTACATTCGTAATGGAAATTTGCTTTATCCTGATGAGACACATGTTCGTCATGTAGTCTCGTTTTCTCAGAGTCATTTATTGTAATTTTTATTTTTGCTACAAATGTATCACAAGTATGGCAAGTATCGTTATGTGGCTTTTTAAATTTTAAATTGAATGTCTTAAAAATATTACTATATGTAGAAAGGCTGACTATTTTTGTAGTTATGTTGTCCATGGTATGTTGGTCAAGGTATAAGTTATAAATTTTTTATAAATTCAACCCAGTCTCCAGGTATTTTTTCGTAGTGTGTCGTCTTGAATAGTGGCTTTCGTATGCAGGGAAATTAGAAATATGATTACGTACATAATCAATTGCTTCATTTGAATGTTTAATTTTTGGCTCATGTCTGCCTCTTTCATCCCGTCCAATGATACCTGTAGCTGACTTTTTCTTCTTGTCAATTATGCCATTCACAAAACCACGATTCTCACCATACACGTTAAGAAAACAGTTTTGACAAACTTTTACTAAATTACCTTCATTTTCAATAAAGTACTCTACAGCTACTTCTCTTTTCTTTTTGATTTCAACCTGTTTAACTCTGTGTTAATACATATCTCTTGTTTCCATAGCGCGATAATCTGCAAAAACTCTTTGTAATTGTGTATTCGTAAATTTTGTTTTACATTTTAATCTGCATTCTTTTAGTACACCTACAGATTTACCCAATATTTTTTTCCCAGCTTGATTTATGTATTCTTCCCCCTTTTTAATTTTTTCTGTTCTTTCTTTACGGAGTTTTCTTTGCATCATACCGACACCACGCTTCCTTTTTCTTCTAACGTCATCCTGTGTTTGAGAAACCAATGCTGGGACCGCAATGCTTCTAATGCTTCTAGGGGTAGATGTCTTGCTAGATGACGATGATGAGACGTGTTCTACATGTGTACCAGCAGGTAACCAATTACAATCCTGCACATCGTCATCAGAACTATAATCTTCACCGAGAGAAGTACGATCAGAACTATTAGCTCGATTACCTGATGGGCCGGGTAGAGATTGCAAAACATCTTGCTGAGCTATGGCAGTACCTGACGGACCGGGCAGAGATGACAAAATATCCTGCAGAGCTACTTGACTACCCGACGGGCCGGGCAAAGATTGCAAGATATCCTTCTGAGCTAATGGAGTACGTTCTCTCATACATTGTTTCACAGCTAAATCCTAAAATGAAAAAAAAAACAACGTTAGGCCCGGGTGCCAGTATTTTATATAATATACTAGGCACAAACAGTCATATCAACTATTACAATATTGCTCACTAAAATGCCTACTTACTCTCGCAATGCACACTGACGCGATTTGAATAAAATAACAATCAAAATAATGATAAACATACCTCTGGATCTTCTTGTCTCATAGCTAACTCCAACAACTTCTTACAGCGAGCACTCATCATTTTAACAGTAATTATAACCTATCTTAATGTTCTTTTACCGGCGTAATAACGAAAACTAACAATAAACTATGAAATGTGCGGTACGCGAAACAATAGTGACACGACACGTTATGACATGTTTCCCGCTAACCAAGTAATTTTTGATCATAAGTTGATAAGTGTGCTTTAGTCATATTCTGATCAATAAAAAGCGCATTGTCCTTTCGGTCAGATCTAAATAAAATCACTTAACGCAATATGACCAAAACAAAAGTTGAAATATGAAAGTTATCATAATCTGATTAGTATTCAATACAACAGTAATATTTTGCATGTGACCAAATGTGTGGCGTAGCCACTATACTTCAAAACATTATAACTAACACAAAACATATATATGTACTTATTATAAACATTAATTTATCTATAAACATCTTTACTAACACAAAGAACAGTATATACATACATATATATATATATATATATATATTAACTTTTACATAATACATATTTTATTAATTACCTAGCATCGGCAAACGACTAATCGTAGAGTGCAGCGGTAAACATCGATCGTGGTCGCATCGTTTAAACGGAGTCCTGCACTCAATAAACAAAAGGGTTCGAGTGTCGGCGCTGGCGCATTACGTATTAGCCGCGCACCCCTCAGTCCGCCTCAGCAAGACTCAGCGCGCTACTACCACGTCTGCTTCCAGAATTACGCATAAATGAGGGTAGCTCTGGGAGCCTTAACGAGCTTTTTTGACTAGTTAAGTCTGTCGGTCTATCTTCATTACAGGATGATATTGAAGTACTTTCTTGAGATTCCTCTGTCATGTTCCGTTTCTTATATGATTCTTCTCTCAACTTTTCAATATAATTGGACAATTCACCTACTTCCTGCGGGGGACATAGCGAGTAACTATGCCTCGTGTTCTCTAGTGTGAATGATATTTCCATCCGCCTTTCTTCCGGTGTCGCGGTTAGGAAACGCTTGAACAGGAGATCTGCATGTTTCATGGTAATAGTGGAGGGTGACACGTGAAATACGAATCGCACTAGGAAATCATGTGCCCTCTCACCGTTGGGTCTTTTATTATAAGCCACGATCATCTCTCTCGAGAGTACACCTTTCACCATCAGACATATTAGATGAGAGGAGACTGCATGTGTAGTGGAATAAATTTTTCTAATTTCGCTAAGATCGTTGATCATTATATCTAGAAGATCATTTACGTTTGAGTCTAGATTTATGCGCCTCTCTGCAAACCATGCGTTAAAGGCGTGAACACTTTGATCCCACGAATGCGCACGTATAACACGCGCATGTAAGTCTAAAATCGTGCGTAAGGACACGACCTGACGTGTGGTCAAGTACAGTTTAACGTCTGGATATCCAGGTGTTAAACTCACTTGAGCTATCACCCGTTTATCTGCTTCAGGTGAAGTTAGGAACGCGTGGGTCCCAAACGTACGTACTGATGTTCTTCTTATATGTTCGGGAGATGAAGTTATTTCCACAGCTTGTGAGTGAGGCCCAAAAGTTAAGTTGATCGTCTCACACTTCTGGAATTTAATAAATCTGGAAAATGAATCCTCCAGATATAGATTGTACTCACAGTTATTCTTCTCTACTTCTCTTTTCTTTTTGATTTCAACCTGTTTAACTCTAATTGGCGGTGTTAATAATATATGGTTACTCAAATGTAAACGTTGCATATCTCTTGTTTCCATAGCGCGATAATCTGCAAAAACTCTTTGTAATTGTGTATTCGTAAATTTTGTTTTACATTTTAATCTGCATTCTTTTAGTACACCTACAGATTTACCCAATATTTTTTTCCCAGCTTGATTTATGTATTCTTCCCCCTTTTTAATTTTTTCTGTTCTTTCTTTACGGAGTTTTCTTTGCATCATACCGACACCACGCTTCCTTTTTCTTCTAACGTCATCCTGTGTTTGAGAAACCAATGCTGGGACCGCAATGCTTCTAATGCTTCTAGGGGTAGATGTCTTGCTAGATGACGATGATGAGACGTGTTCTACATGTGTACCAGCAGGTAACCAATTACAATCCTGCACATCGTCATCAGAACTATAATCTTCACCGAGAGAAGTACGATCAGAACTATTAGCTCGATTACCTGATGGGCCGGGTAGAGATTGCAAAACATCTTGCTGAGCTATGGCAGTACCTGACGGACCGGGCAGAGATGACAAAATATCCTGCAGAGCTACTTGACTACCCGACGGGCCGGGCAAAGATTGCAAGATATCCTTCTGAGCTAATGGAGTACGTTCTCTCATACATTGTTTCACAGCTAAATCCTAAAATGAAAAAAAAAAACAACGTTAGGCCCGGGTGCCAGTATTTTATATAATATACTAGGCACAAACAGTCATATCAACTATTACAATATTGCTCACTAAAATGCCTACTTACTCTCGCAATGCACACTGACGCGATTTGAATAAAATAACAATCAAAATAATGATAAACATACCTCTGGATCTTCTTGTCTCATAGCTAACTCCAACAACTTCTTACAGCGAGCACTCATCATTTTAAAAGTAATTATAACCTATCTTAATGTTCTTTTACCGGCGTAATAACGAAAACTAACAATAAACTATGAAATGTGCGGTACGCGAAACAATAGTGACACGACACGTTATGACATGTTTCCCGCTAACCAAGTAATTTTTGATCATAAGTTGATAAGTGTGCTTTAGTCATATTCTGATCAATAAAAAGCGCATTGTCCTTTCGGTCAGATCTAAATAAAATCACTTAACGCAATATGACCAAAACAAAAGTTGAAATATGAAAGTTATCATAATCTGATTAGTATTCAATACAACAGTAATATTTTGCATGTGACCAAATGTGTGGCGTAGCCACTATACTTCAAAACATTATAACTAACACAAAACATATATATGTACTTATTATAAACATTAATTTATCTATAAACATCTTTACTAACACAAAGAACAGTATATACATACATATATATATATATATATATATATATATATTAACTTTTACATAATACATATTTTATTAATTACCTAGCATCGGCAAACGACTAATCGTAGAGTGCAGCGGTAAACATCGATCGTGGTCGCATCGTTTAAACGGAGTCCTGCACTCAATAAACAAAAGGGTTCGAGTGTCGGCGCTGGCGCATTACGTATTAGCCGCGCACCCCTCAGTCCGCCTCAGCAAGACTCAGCGCGCTACTACCACGTCTGCTTCCAGAATTACGCATAAATGAGGGTAGCTCTGGGAGCCTTAACGAGCTTTTTTGACTAGTTAAGTCTGTCGGTCTATCTTCATTACAGGATGATATTGAAGTACTTTCTTGAGATTCCTCTGTCATGTTCCGTTTCTTATATGATTCTTCTCTCAACTTTTCAATATAATTGGACAATTCACCTACTTCCTGCGGGGGACATAGCGAGTAACTATGCCTCGTGTTCTCTAGTGTGAATGATATTTCCATCCGCCTTTCTTCCGGTGTCGCGGTTAGGAAACGCTTGAACAGGAGATCTGCATGTTTCATGGTAATAGTGGAGGGTGACACGTGAAATACGAATCGCACTAGGAAATCATGTGCCCTCTCACCGTTGGGTCTTTTATTATAAGCCACGATCATCTCTCTCGAGAGTACACCTTTCACCATCAGACATATTAGATGAGAGGAGACTGCATGTGTAGTGGAATAAATTTTTCTAATTTCGCTAAGATCGTTGATCATTATATCTAGAAGATCATTTACGTTTGAGTCTAGATTTATGCGCCTCTCTGCAAACCATGCGTTAAAGGCGTGAACACTTTGATCCCACGAATGCGCACGTATAACACGCGCATGTAAGTCTAAAATCGTGCGTAAGGACACGACCTGACGTGTGGTCAAGTACAGTTTAACGTCTGGATATCCAGGTGTTAAACTCACTTGAGCTATCACCCGTTTATCTGCTTCAGGTGAAGTTAGGAACGCGTGGGTCCCAAACGTACGTACTGATGTTCTTCTTATATGTTCGGGAGATGAAGTTATTTCCACAGCTTGTGAGTGAGGCCCAAAAGTTAAGTTGATCGTCTCACACTTCTGGAATTTAATAAATCTGGAAAATGAATCCTCCAGATATAGATTGTACTCACAGTTATTCTTCCCTCTTAATAATCTCATCATTTTGATCAAACAGTCATCACAAGTTCCCTCGCTGATCCATAATGCAGCGTGTGTTAATAAAGTATTCATCGATACAACGTTCCCGTCCAAAGCGAATCTTGAAATTAATGATATGGTGTAGAACAGAGTGCGTAAACCTAGCCCGTGCTTGATTCGTTTTCGTATGCGTTCACACATAGCTAAAATCAAGTACTGACCAATAGTTTTATAATGGATTGGACCATTTCTGGGGTTAAACACGATCGGCAGATCTCCATTCACGTGTTTAGGTTCATTAAGTACGTTCTCTATTTCTATGATATCATTGATGAAGTTTGGCAGCCATCTATCCCTAGCCGACCGCTTTTCATTGATATCGCGTATTAAATTCCCAACCAGTTTTGACTCATGCGCAAATTGCATAATAGCGCGTTTATTGAAGACTTCGACATATGGCATTGGAACGCACACGTTTCCATCGTCTTGGAAGTATACGCGTGTAGCGCTGATGTCTTGTAACATGGTAACGCGAAGAGTGCGCTGTACTTGGTGATCTTTTAGGGGTACGGTTATAATTGTCGACACGCTTGGGCTGTCAAGCTTGAACAGCGCAAGGCCAAATTTACATTCATCCGTCAATTCGATAAACCCATTCCATTCGGAGAGCCTGAGTTCTTCAACTTGTAGCTCGCTGATTCTAGAATAGATGGACGCTTGTTCAATTCTCTCCTGCGTTAGAACGCCTCTTACTGCCATCGTCCGTTGCAATGCAGGGGCATAGGTTCTAGAATTCATGATTCCTCTCTTGTCGCTCTTATTACCGTTAGAACAGAATCTCTTCATTTCGCCAAGATGAAGGCCGTTATAAATTGACTCGTATATCAGTTTACGTTCCAGAATTTCAAGATGCTAACATGTCAAACACTCAAGGCACCGAGAACCAGCCGCATTCCGAAGTGAAGACATTTACACCATCCGATATTTTTCGAGTCGGCGTACGATTGCCACCGTTTTGGGCAGAAGAACCAGCAGTATGGTTTGCTCAAATAGAAGGAAGTTTCGCGCTCTCCGGCATCAAAGACGACAATACCAAATATAATTACGTAATCGCTCAACTGGAACAGCGTTACGCCGCAAGTGTAAAAGATGTACTTCTCAACCCGCCCGCTGAAGGCAAATATGAGAAACTCAAAAGCGAGCTGATCAAACGACTGTCTGCGTCCCGCGAGAAGGAACTGACACAGTTGTTGATGCACGAAGAATTGGGAGATAGACGACCATCTGCATTTCTCAGGCACCTGCAACATTTAGCTGGTCCGAATATACCTGATGATTTCATCAAGACTGTATGGACGAGCCGGTTACCAAGTAACATACAGATCGTCGTGGCATCACAGCCAGAGTCTTCGCTTGCAGCTTTAGCAAATCTGGCTGACAAGGTGCACGACCTAGTGCCGCCGGCACCACAGGTCGCTGCAGCAGACGCTGTCCCGAACTCAATAATTGAAAAGTTGTCAAGAGAATTCGCTGAACTCAGCCGCCAAGTCCAAGCCCTCTCGTCAAGAGATTCAAGATCACAATCGAGAGACAAGACTCGTCGTGACAGGAGCACCACGCGTTCAGTATCGAACTATCGGAAATTTCCTACTTGCATTTATCATTTTAGATATGGGGATAAAGCGCGAAGATGCCTAAAACCTTGCGATTACCAGCCCGCTTCGGGAAAAGCCAACGGCAATCATCAGTAGCGACACATGATTGTCAAGGTTCAACTGGTCGCTTATTTATAACAGACAGGCGTACAAAGTTGCAGTTTTTAGTGGACACTGGCAGCGACATCTGCGTTTTTCCTCGCACCGCTCTGAAACAAAGACGACCCCGAACCATCGAATTTGACCTCTTCGCAGCGAATGGCACACCGATAGCTGTATATGGAGGTCAACAATTTGAACTAGACCTGGGACTGCGCCGCGCTTTTTCCTGGCGTTTTACAGTAGCCGATGTCACAAAACCAATCATTGGAGTCGACTTCTTATCTTTTTACAATTTACTGGTAGACTGTCGAAATAAGCGGTTGGTAGACGATAGAACTACTCTGTCAGTATGCGCAGCTCCAGTTCCTTCATCAGATGCCATATTTTCAGTAAAAACGATAATAGGCGAATCAAATACAATAACCTTCTGAGAGAATTTCCCGAGATTACTCGCCCGGCAGGCACTCATAGAATAATTCGGCACAATACAGTACACCATATAAGGACCACTCCAGGACCACCGGTGTACTGCGCTCCAAGAAGGCTCGCCCCCGACAAACTCAAAATAGCTAAGCAGGAGTTTGAAGAGATGCTAAGGATTGGCACTGCAAGACCATCTGAAAGCCCATGGTCATCTCCGCTTCACCTTGCTCCTAAGAAGGACGGATTTTTTCAAAAATTGACCTGGTTAAAGCTTTTAATCAAATACCTGTAAACCCTGAGGATATCCCCAAAACCGCTATCACCACACCGTTTGGAATGTTCGAATTCCCATACATGACTTTTGGCCTTCGCAACGCAGGACAAACTTTCCAAAGATTCGTCGATGAGATGACAAGGGATCTCGACTTCTGCTATTCCTATATTGATGATTATTTAATATCATCACCAGATGAAGAATCACACTTAAACCATCTTCGTCTCCTCTTCGCTCGTCTTAAAGAATATGGAATGGTGATAAATACCTCTAAATGCATTTTTAGAGCGGAAAAAGTGGTTTTTCTCGGCTGCAGTGTTTCTTCTAGAGGTATAAAGCCGCTGGAAAGTAAGATCCAAGTTATTAAAGAATATCCGATCCCCAAAACAGTAAAAGAACTTAGAAGATTCCTGGGGATAATTAATTTTTACCGCCGCTTCATAAGTGATGCTGCCAAATCACAAACTCCATTGCACATCTTGCTCACCGGATCTGTAAAAGGCTCTCATCCTGTTGATATCAGTGGAGAAGCATTACAGGCGTTTGAAGAATGCAAGACTAGTCTATGTCATGCAGCGCTCTTGGCACATCCAGACGTGGACGCGAAATTAGCATTAGTCACAGATGCATCCGACGTTGCAATTGGTGGTGTTCTACAACAGCACAAAGATGGAGAGTGGCAACCCCTCGCATTCTTCAGTAGAAAGCTAAGTCCATCGCAGAGAAAATACTCGCCATACGACAGAGAGCTGCTCGCAATTTATGATGCAATAAAGCATTTCCGTCACTTCGTAGAAGCGAGGCACTTCACCGTATTTACAGATCACAAGCCACTCTGTTTCGCTTTCCAAGGACACAAAGACAAATGTTCTCCTCGCCAGTTCCGCCACTTGGACTACATTGCTCAGTTCACAACGGACATTCAGCACATATCGGGTAAAGACAACATAGTGGCAGATACGCTCTCTAGAATAGAAGAGATCGCCCAACCCGTGGAACTGAAGAATATAGCAAAGGCGCAAAAAGATGACCTAGAGCTGATACAGCTTCTAGAAGGAGGATCTTCACTCAATTTAGCCAAGCTTATTATACCAGGAACAGATCTGCAACTTTACTGCGATGACAATACTACGACACCACGACCATATGTGCCAAAGGAGTGCAGAAGGCAAGTCTACGACAGCCTTCATTCACTCAGCCATCCTGGTGCTAACGCCTCTGCAAGACTAGTGGCTCAGCGTTTTGTATGGCCTGGAATGAAAAAAGATTGTCGTGAGTGGGCCAAGCTCTGTCATGCCTGTCAACGTACAAAAATCACCCGACACGTGTCACCGGCAATTGGAACCTTCAGCCTTCCACGTGGCAGATTTACCTGTGTACATATAGACATCATCGGACCTTTACCTCCCTCTGATAATTTTCTGATAATCTAACAGAGTAGTGTCTGAATAGAGTGAATTCGACTCTAAATTGTGGAATCGTGTGTGAAGTTGAGTTTTTAAAATGTTAAGAAAATCTGTTATTTCTTTCTGGATATAAGTTTGTTGTGTTAAACACTTCACAATATGCTTTGAGATCAACTGATAAATAACTAACACCTTTGATAAGCTTACATGCTTTTCGGTACTAAATTCTTTAGTTATGTCGTAAAATGGACGCAATATCGGTATTTTTATTTCTATAATGGTCCAGTCTGTTGGTGCGAGAGTAAGGTCACTTTTCATTAAGGTCAGAGTAGTAACAACTGCGTCTTTTATTTTAGCCATCATTTCCAACATGCAACAGGAGTTCCAACGAGTTGCACATTCTTACTTGAGTTTAAGTAAAGGTAAACCCATTTGTTTTTGAGTTGCTTCTAGATTGGCTTCTGCTGAATAGCTTCTCCTAAAAATTATGGATTTTACTTTGTTTATTATTTCTGCAATTTAAACCATTCTGTGCAACTAGATTTATAGAATGTGCAAAGCAACTCACAGATCGCCATTCTCCCAGACGAACTGCAGCAATGATATTAACTGCGTTATCGCTTATAATACATGTCACTTTATTTATAATTTGCCAATCTTGCATCATTTGCTTTAGAAAAACGACTAAATTGGCACTAGTATGTCTTTAATTATAATCAATGCAACCCAATAAAATTGATTGCATATCTCTGTATTTATTAATAAAATGAGCTGTTACCGCTATATAGTTCTGATTAGCACTTGATGTCCATGAATCAGTACATAAACAAATAGCAACTGTCTCTTTAATGTTCTGAAAGGAATTTGCAAATACTTCTGAATACGTTTTTGGTATTAACCTATTTGATAATGTTTTCCGCGAAGGAAACTGGTAGCCAGGGCACGTGGAAATCATTTCTATTAGTTTTTTGAATTGTGTTTCTTCTAGAATTCGTAATGAATGGTGACCTTTAGTCACCATTGCAACCACTTGCTGATCAATTTGCTCCACCTTACGTGTGGACGGTGGTCTGCGAATAAAATTTGTGATCGAAGTTTGTGTTGATGATGTTGATGGCACTGATTGTTGGATAGTTAATGTAGAAGGGTTCGTCGAAGATTTTGTAACTTTGCTACTGGTGGTCGTTTCCGTTACACTCAATACACACCGTTGTGGCTCATCAGTCAAAGAAATCGAGGGATGTTTAGTCATCATATGCTTTTTTAAGTTGCCTAGCGAGTCTCTTGATGCTCAACTTTTGCAAGCAATAATTACATCTGGCTTATTTTCTCCTTCTTTAAAATAAAGCCATATAGTACTCCTTTTTGGTCTTCGCGAAGCCATTTTTAGTTGTAGCTTTACCGGAGTAACTAGATAAGGTTTCCACGAGCAAAAATCAAACTAAGCTAGGAAGTGCATTAAATAACACATTAACGTATGAGTTAAATCTATAAAGCAAAGTTCTAACGCAAAAAATACAAAGTCTAATATTTAAAACACCTAAACCTAAGTACATACAAAAGTCCTCTTATACCACTAGATTAAAGAAAAAAGTAGTCTGTCCATGTGCCACACCACTTACGCAAATACACAAAATAATTATGATTGAGATGAATAATAAACTTAAGGCGTTCCACAGTTCATCGCCGCACATTTAAGAGCCATTTCACAAAATGATTACGCTCGAGTTTAGGTAAAATACTGCATCATTGTTTATGTGTGCGTAGCTACGCACTCAAACGTAACATAAACAGTGTAACGAGAAAGCCGAGACGGACAAGCAATCTTGAGCCGTAATGTGATTTTATATGAGATTAATAAAAAGTTATACATTTTATTTAGTCTAATGAAATTTTTAAGCTAGGTAAATAGAAAAACAAAAAGTTATGGTATGTAAAATAATATAATAACAATTAACATAAAAACAATCACATTATTGTCGGTTAACAACTAAATGCTTACGCTATAGGAGTATTTGGCGTAAAGGCATTGATCTTGCTCTTTCTTGGGTCTATGATTTCCGGTAGCATTTTCTCCTGCCAAAAAACGTCATCTTTCTTTACTCTTACTACTTTCAATCGAAAATCAGGCCCAGTCCATACAGCAAATACACGTGTCTTTTTTCGCTATGTGCAACTGGCCCTGAACCAGGTAGTACCAAGCCGTGATTATTGTTCATCTCGATTTCAGATTGGCTGTTCACTTTGAAACATTTCAGATTTTTAGCTTGCAAAGCGGTATCAGGATCTATTCCAAAAAGTGAGCTTGGACATTTCACTTTCACTAATCCTTCAGTGCACAATCCATCTGGTGTTGCGCCTAAATAAAAATATTCTTCGTCTATAAAAATACCACATTTATCTATATTAGTATTTTCTTGGACACTGAGTTGTGCCAAAGCCTTTTGTTCACTGTCTCTACCATGTTTTTATTGAGGTAATTGTGGTCTAGGTTATATGAATATAGATCGGATTTTACAAGGGGAGCAGAATTTTGGTTTGGACGCAGGACGCAGGACGCAGTAGTAATAAACCAAACTTTACCTTGTGAAAAAAATACAAAGCGAATCAATACTATGTGGTCGCAGTACAATAATGGTTTCACTCTACGAACGCTCGATAATCGGGACGCCGGAAAAAATGACACAGATCCTTCTCCGATGGGCGCTCGCGCCGTACTAAGCGGTATCCACTTGTGTTGTGTCATATTCCCTCATATTTGTGTTCCATTTGGCGAAATCAAGACTGATCAAATAGTGATTGTTCTTTTTTGAGGTAAAGTTGTATCTTTTCTTTTCAAGAACCAGCTCATCATCTACCATAGTGATCTCTGGGTAAATTCTGCAAACAATTTCTCAGTAAGAACTACATATGATCTCTTGACCAATGTCAATAGTTTAAACAATCTAGCTTTCAATTTTCCCTCTCTTTCTTTCTCATGCACCCCAACACATATCTCCTCGGGAGGAAATCCCTCTTGATTAATGGTTTGGAGTAATTCATTTGGAACGGAGATGTCAGACTGCAAGAATTTCAATAACAAGGATCAGATGAGGGAATTTCCAATACTTCTATTCATTGTTATTTCTCTCAACAATTCTGGAAAACCTAAAGATAATGCCTTGTCATCAATGAATTCAATCAAATCAAATTTTGGATCCACCGGGAAGACCTGTTCAAACTCAACATTTGTCAAATGACTCCTTTTGTAATTTCTTGCTCTAAGTGGATATCTTAACTGTCTTTCATAGTGGCCCCTAATGGGTCACCCAATTTGGGAAGTTTAGCAATTTTAACCTTTGGCCACTCTTTATGTCTGTTCATATATCTGATGATAAAGTCTTCCTTAAATTTATTATTGATTGACTCACTGTGATGTTTCATGTAAAATCTCCCTGTTGTTCCGAGAGCTTTCAGGGCAATAGTACCTAGTAGAGGATCCAGTGTCGGATAACCCCAGATTCTATAAAGACCATATAGTTGGGCAAAGGCATTGAGATTTCTTTCAAAAACATCTGTGAAACTATTGATAAATTACCAGAAAAAGAGAGAACTGTTGATTATGTCCGTCAGAAATTGATAGAAAGAATATAGGTTGTGTCACATTATCAGATGCCACCGCAGCATATAGATTGGCAGCTAAAGATGAGAGGCTAGTTTCAATGGTGGGGAAATCCTCATTGCAGCAGCGGAACATCCTACAATTTTTTTTCCAAGATGTTGTTAGAGCAACCCTATTTTTAATTGGGAATTTTCCATACAAGAGGTAATCCTTAGAGATCCATGTCTCTTCTATCTTAAGAGGAGGCCCAATATATGATAATTTTTCCTCAAGAGCAGATATAAATTGGTTTACTTGATTGACAGTGACCTCTTCAGGTAATGTTTCAGTAAATTCTATAAGTAACATTTGATTATCTCCTTGTCCCATGATTGATAATTTGAAATTGAACTCTTCAGCAACAAGCCTGATAAGAATTACTGTCCATAAAGTCCAGCCATTTTGCCTCATTCCCTCTATTGCACCAAAGTGATACTTCCAACAACCAAGATCTGTCTTTAATCCTGTAGGGGCGACAGTAGGAAGATATGAACCATCTACTAAATATAGGTATGAATCATAAAACATTTCATGAGTTCCAGAAAAACAATTGGTGAATCCAAACATTCCATCTACAGTTTTGTAGAACGGCTTTGTGTCATATTCCCTCATATTTGTGTTCCATTTGGCGAAATCAAGACTGATCAAATAGTGATTGTTCTTTTTTGAGGTAAAGTTGTATCTTTTCTTTTCAAGAACCAGCTCATCATCTACCATAGTGATCTCTGGGTAAATTCTGCAAACAATTTCTCAGTAAGAACTACATATGATCTCTTGACCAATGTCAATAGTTTAAACAATCTAGCTTTCAATTTTCCCTCTCTTTCTTTCTCATGCACCCCAACACATATCTCCTCGGGAGGAAATCCCTCTTGATTAATGGTTTGGAGTAATTCATTTGGAACGGAGATGTCAGACTGCAAGAATTTCAATAACAAGGATCAGATGAGGGAATTTCCAATACTTCTATTCATTGTTATTTCTCTCAACAATTCTGGAAAATCTAAAGATAATGCCTTGTCATCAATGAATTCAATCAAATCAAATTTTGGATCCACCGGGAAGACCTGTTCAAACTCAACATTTGTCAAATGACTCCTTTTGTAATTTCTTGCTCTAAGTGGATATCTTAACTGTCTTTCATAGTGGCCCCTAATGGGTCACCCAATTTGGGAAGTTTAGCAATTTTAACCTTTGGCCACTCTTTATGTCTATTCATATATCTGATGATAAAGTCTTCCTTAAATTTATTATTGATTGACTCACTGTGATGTTTCATGTAAAATCTCCCTGTTGTTCCGAGAGCTTTCAGGGCAATAGTACCTAGTAGAGGATCCAGTGTCGGATAACCCCAGATTCTATAAAGACCATATAGTTGGGCAAAGGCATTGAGATTTCTTTCAAAAACATCTGTGAAACTATTGATAAATTACCAGAAAAAGAGAGAACTGTTGATTATGTCCGTCAGAAATTGATAGAAAGAATATAGGTTGTGTCACATTATCAGATGCCACCGCAGCATATAGATTGGCAGCTAAAGATGAGAGGCTAGTTTCAATGGTGGGGAAATCCTCATTGCAGCAGCGGAACATCCTACAATTTTTTTTCCAAGATGTTGTTAGAGCAACCCTATTTTTAATTGGGAATTTTCCATACAAGAGGTAATCCTTAGAGATCCATGTCTCTTCTATCTTAAGAGGAGGCCCAATATATGATAATTTTTCCTCAAGAGCAGATATAAATTGGTTTACTTGATTGACAGTGACCTCTTCAGGTAATGTTTCAGTAAATTCTATAAGTAACATTTGATTGTCTCCTTGTCCCATGATTGATAATTTGAAATTGAACTCTTCAGCAACAAGCCTGATAAGAATTACTGTCCATAAAGTCCAGCCATTTTGCCTCATTCCCTCTATTGCACCAAAGTGATACTTCCAACAACCAAGATCTGTCTTTAATCCTGTAGGGGCGACAGTAGGAAGATATGAACCATCTACTAAATATAGGTATGAATCATAAAACATTTCATGAGTTCCAGAAAAACAATTGGTGAATCCAAACATTCCATCTACAGTTTTGTAGAACGGCTTTGTGTCATATTCCCTCATATTTGTGTTCCATTTGGCGAAATCAAGACTGATCAAATAGTGATTGTTCTTTTTTGAGGTAAAGTTGTATCTTTTCTTTTCAAGAACCAGCTCATCATCTACCATAGTGATCTCTGGGTAAATTCTGCAAACAATTTCTCAGTAAGAACTACATATGATCTCTTGACCAATGTCAATAGTTTAAACAATCTAGCTTTCAATTTTCCCTCTCTTTCTTTCTCATGCACCCCAACACATATCTCCTCGGGAGGAAATCCCTCTTGATTAATGGTTTGGAGTAATTCATTTGGAACGGAGATGTCAGACTGCAAGAATTTCAATAACAAGGATCAGATGAGGGAATTTCCAATACTTCTATTCATTGTTATTTCTCTCAACAATTCTGGAAAATCTAAAGATAATGCCTTGTCATCAATGAATTCAATCAAATCAAATTTTGGATCCACCGGGAAGACCTGTTCAAACTCAACATTTGTCAAATGACTCCTTTTGTAATTTCTTGCTCTAAGTGGATATCTTAACTGTCTTTCATAGTGGCCCCTAATGGGTCACCCAATTTGGGAAGTTTAGCAATTTTAACCTTTGGCCACTCTTTATGTCTATTCATATATCTGATGATAAAGTCTTCCTTAAATTTATTATTGATTGACTCACTGTGATGTTTCATGTAAAATCTCCCTGTTGTTCCGAGAGCTTTCAGGGCAATAGTACCTAGTAGAGGATCCAGTGTCGGATAACCCCAGATTCTATAAAGACCATATAGTTGGGCAAAGGCATTGAGATTTCTTTCAAAAACATCTGTCAGCACCCTCTCTCTTTGTTGAATCAGTGAACTCAGACCTAGTTGTTGTGCTTTATTTTCAATATCCTCCTATTTTCTTTCTAAACTTAGAAGTAGTCCAAGAACCCCCCTCATAATTCCCTACTAATCGTGATGTGCAATTGGATTCAAGTGTGTATATCAGATCATAAACTTGATTGCCTGACAAAGCCAACATCTCATCCCCGATCTTTAAGAATGTGTCTAAGTCTTTTAATTTCGGTGTTTCTTCAGATCCATAAATATCAGCTAAAATTGATTGAAAATAAATGTTACATCTCTCTGATGCCAAATCTGAAAGAATTGTTAAGTGATCTCTAGAGACTAACAGTGTATTTAGGTTTGTCTGAATTATGAATAAATTAGGACCAGCTATCATATTAAGTCCTGGGGTTCGGTACTCAATTAATTTATTATTATTCTTATGGACCCACCAAGATCCTCCTGTTGTGTTTGGTGATCCACTCATAATAACAGCCTCTTTCCAAAAACATTTTGTCATTATTCTCATATAACCTGTCTTTATAATCCTTATTTTTCCTTTCATCATTCTCTTCACTTACTATCACATAACTTCCTGGTTCAACAACCTTTACATTTCTGGCTAAAACAATCTTACCGTCAATCAGCACACGATAACCTAACTCAAAATATCCAACTAACTTTCCTTTCACTGCTTTATCATCTTGAGTACCTAGTCCTCTTAACATCTGGTACTCTTACAAAAACATTACTGCCATACATCTTCAAATTATTAACGGATGGTTTCTTACCCATAAAAATCTCATACAGAGTCTTCCTTTCAATTGTAGAACTATTCAATACTCTATTTCCTATATAGCAAGCTGCATACACAAGTTCAGGCCATTATTTCCTTTCTAAATGGGACTCTTTTCTTAAACACCTAACTCTGTTCATAATTGTATAGATAGTTCAACTCAGATGTGCGCGCGGCCCTATGTGTGGGTAAACCTTGTACATATACAGTGACTTTGTGTGCGTGACAAGAGGTACAGTCGTACAAATACAAATATAGTTATATACGGGTTTTTAAAAAATAGAGTTATTTCGTAATGTAATGTTTATTTATTGAACATTATTCTGAATCGCTACTTGAAAAATCAAATGATGAATTTTCGGATTCGCTGCTCTCACCAAGGTTAATTATGAATTCTGACTCCATGTCAAAATGTCTATAGTATTCTTCTTCTTTCATTTTTACATGTCGACAAGTATTACCCCACATCCCTTCATCAATTTGACTTAAGCGTTCATTTATGAGTTTCATTATTTCCGTCACATTTTGGTCGACATTATGCGAAGCAATATAATTCTTTAAAATTCCCCACACCTTTTCTATGGGGTTTAGTTCAGGATGATATGGTGGCAGTCGAAGAATTTTTATGCCATATGGTTGAGGTATGTCGTTAATCTTGTAACAGATATATTATTTTTCTTTATTTTTTTTAATCAAATCGTACAGTTCAATTTTTTTCATATCTTGATTAAAAGCTATATTTTTTTCTGTCAGCCATCTCTGCATTTCAATTTTTTTGGAATTAGAATTTGGGGCTCTGTCATTTTTAACGTTATGGTATGAGGCATTATCAAGCACAACCACAGAGTTAGGTGGAAGATTCGGTACTAGACGTTCTTTTAGCCACTTTTCATAGTTTTCTGCGTTCATGTTAGAGTGGTAATCACCAGAAACACTATTCGCTTTGTATGTCAATAGTGCGTTAGGTACGAAACCTTGTTCTGAACCAGCGTGCTCAATGATAATTCTTTGTCCTTTCGACAGGTTTCTCTTTAAAGGTGGTCCATCTTTATTACCCCATCCTTTGTTTTGCACATGATTAGTTAAGATGTAGCTCTCATCTGTATATACGATACACCGATTTTCTTGACGGTATCTGAGTAAATTTTTTAGGTAGGAAAATCGTGGTTTTTGAATGTCATGCCGCTCTATAATAATATAATAACACTGTTTTGTGTATTTTTATCCCAACTTTAACAAAGCTGTACGCAGAGTCGAAATACTTCCATCATAGTTAAGTTTATCTTGAAATATTCTTTTCAACTTTAGCAAGGTAGGTAACTCGCGATGTTCTAAATGGTAATTTTGAATAGTGGAACGTATAACATCAACGTTAAAGTTGTCTAATTCTAACTTTTTTAAACGTTTTTTACGGTCTTTATGCGGCGATTTAAATTTAGAGTCAGATTCTTTTCCTTCAGCCAATATATTAGTAATTGTTCTCTCTGATACCCCCCCACTGCCATTGCTGTTCTTTTCCGTACGCTATTTAAATGTTCACTTAATTTCGATATTAAAATTGGACTTGCACTGCAAACTGGATCACTTACTAGTTCCAATATATCTCTCGCATCTATTTTCAGAAATTCGTATACCTTAGCAATGGTTTCTCGAGTCTAAAACAATAATACGTAAACGTCAACAAGGATATATTTTTTCGTATATAGAATCATAATAAATATTAATTACATCTAAATTTAAAAAATATTTACCTGACTCTGACATTTTCTCCGTGAAGAACTAGACATTTTCGTAAACGACTGTACCCTTAAGAAAAAGCGATAAGAACACGTCTTGCTCGGACGACGACTGCCGCGTCACTGCCACATGAATGAAAGTTGTATATTTACAAGCCCACGCACACATAGGGCCGCGCGCACAACTGAGTTGAACTATCTATACGATTGTATCGTTCCGCTACTCCATTCAACTCATTGTTGTAGGCTGTACATTAGGGTGTCCCGAAATTTTTTTATTCTTATTTTAGCTACTTAAGACCTCTCAAAAGTTGCGCTGTTAGACTTAGATTAGCGTAAAAATAATTCAAAAAATATTTAAAAATATCCTTAGGGCTCTACCAGCATTTTTATTTACTGAAAATTCGCAAAAACAACCTTGTAGTCAATGTCGTATATTCTATGTTTTATGAATCAATCCTGTTTTGTCTTGTAATTTTATCAATAAGAAAAGCCTCGGCTATGATTTGCAAGTATCGACAGGTTGTTTTAGCGATCAATCGGTTTGGATCGGACTTGCAAAATTCCTACAAAATGCATGTTTTGACTTGATTTTAATATATACGACCGGATGGCGTAGTGGTTTGTGTAACGGACTGCTATTCCAAAGGTCGCGGGTTCGATTCCCGCTCAAGTCAAACATTTGTGTGCATGAACATTTGATGTTTGATTTGGTCTGGGTGTTTCTATGTATAATATGTATGTATTTACAAAAAAAAAAGTATATATGTATTTATATCAGTTGTCTAGTACCCATAGTAGAAGCTCTGCTTAGTTTGGGACTAGATGGCGTTGTGTGTATGTGGTTAGAATATTATTATTATTATTTTCTTTATTTACTTTATATACATATTATTTACATTTTTAAACATACACTTTATAAAAAAATTATAACAAAATACATTTAAAAATATAAAAAATAGTAGACCACCGACATCGGGTACAGGGACCAAGACACCGGTGGTTAGGACTCCAAAGATAGGAACCTCCTCACTATACGAGCCGTGTCAAGGAGGACTGCCTTCTGCATCAGACCCTTGATCCAGCCGTCCAACGTGAGCCTCTTAAGGTGTTGGTCGAGGCTCTTGGCTATCAATCCGTGAGCAGATACGACTATCGGAACAATGATCACTGAATCAACATTCCACATATCGACAATCTCGTGAGATAAATCCAAATATTTAATTTGTTTTTCTTTTTCAACTTTCACGAGATTCTCGTCATGAGGAACGGCGATATCAATAATCATTGCGCGGCGCGCTAATCGATCTATCAGCACAATATCAGGCTTATTAGCAACAATAGTCCTGTCTGTGATAATAGATCGATCCCAATACAACGTGGCCCGACCATTCTCGAGAACTGGGTCGGGCACATACCTATAGTATGGCACTTCTAGATTCACAAGATGGTATTTAAGGGCAAGCTGTTGGTGTACGATCCTGGCTACTTGGTTGTGCCTGTGCAAATATTCTCCGTTAGCAAGACGAGAACAACCAGAAATAATATGCCTGATTGATTCGCCAGGACGGTGGCATGCCCGACAGATGTCAACCGTACCATCTTTCAGGATATATTTCCGATAGTTATTCGTCATGATAACTTCGTCCATAATCGCACAAACAAAACCTTCAGTTTCTCCGAAGAGGTCACCATACCGTAGCCAAGTCGTAGATGCTTTTAAATCTATATCGGACCCGTTTAGGGCCCGATAAAACCGACCATGGAGCTCTTTGCCCTTCCATACTTCCCTGCGATCATTAACACTAAGTACTACAGGTCTGCGCCAATTCTCTTTAGCCAGAGCGAGCGGGGTGAAGCCGGTATCCACTGCAACTACATTGCGATGCACTCCCACGTCGGTATGTAGAAAATATTCTCTGAGATTGCATATCTCGCGATTATGTAGGGTCTTGATATTTAATAGTCCGCGACCCCCAAGCTTTCGCGGGATATACAATCTCATAACTGATGAACGTGGGTGGTGCATTCGGGATGCAGTCAGCAGTGTACGGACTTTCCTGTCAAGGGCATCTAATTCGGTCTGAGTCCATCTAAGTATACCAAAGGAATACATCAGAACCAGCATGACCCAACCATTGCAGGCTCGCACCTTGTTGCCCCCTGATAAAAGACTTTTAAGTAGTTTTTTCAAGCGGCCAAAAAAGCGTTCCTGCAATGTTTGTTTCATGTTAGATTCTAGTATTCCCAACGACTGTGATATACCCAGATACTTGTAAGTTTCAGTGGCAGACAGAGATCTAAGTTTTGTTGAATCTGAAAGCTCTATTCTTTCAGATTCAACTATCACACCCTTCTTTACATACATGACTGCACACTTGTCTACACCAAATTCCATTTTGATAGAATTACTAAAGTTTTCCGTCACCTTTAGTAACTTTGTCAATTGTAATTTGTTGGAGGCTAACAGTTTCAAATCATCCATATAAAGAAGGTGAGATATAACTTTATCATCTTTCTGCAACCTATAGCCTAACCCTGAACCCTCTAATAAAGTGCTAAGAGGGTTCAAAGCCAGACAAAACCACAAGGGACTCAGATTATCACCTTGAAATATACCCCGCTCGATCTTTATTAGTACATCATGTATCGCCGTCTGCCGACATCCTGGATAGCGAAGTGCTGTTCTCCATTGGCCCATACATGACTTCAAGAAAGTGCACAGAGTTGTATCAATTTTATACAACTCCAGCACCTTCAAAAGCCATGTGTGTGGAACCGAGTCATAAGCCTTCTTATAATCTATCCAACACGTCACCAAACTCTTACGATTACGACGTACGATGCTGTGACGACAGGTTCTTTTTCCCCTGAGTTAGCGAGCCGCCAACCTGGAAAAATGGCGCATTCAAGATGGCTAACTACTGCCAATCGCATACTCAGACTTTATGTAAGTACTGTTTCGCCATCAAATAATTTAAAGCTGCTTGTCAATTATGTGGTCAAAGTTTATGCTCCAGTTTGGTTCCTCAGTTTGGAGCCCCCCTTCTCATTTATTTGGAACATCCGATTTTGATTATACCGATCTATTCGTTTTTTATACCGTCTTATCCTATTTGCCCATGCATAAATTTTCTGCTTTAGAAAGTCTATGCGCTCTGTGACACATGACATGTACTGCTGAGGACTAATGGTAGTCCCCAAAAATGCCTGTTTCACAAAGCGCATCACTCTCGGCCGCGTATTCCCTGATCGGTAGCTAATAAGCTTACCGATGAGTGTCCTGGTCTCAGCAATACGACGCTCAATTCTATACTGCCAAGCTGGTACAGTAGATTTAGGTCGAGTAGTAGTTACATTGTTAGCTATTTTAACACCAGCTACTCGACAAACTGCAATAGCCGCACAATATAGAATAGAATGTGTATCACTAAGATCTTCGCTATTATCTAAATATTCAGGCAATAACGAATCCAGGGCACCCACCAGCGCTAAATTTCGTTTATGAATGGGCAAACGGAATAACCGGGGCCTATCATTGCAATTTAAATATCGGTATTCCAGAATCGCATCCTCCAAAGCGCTCCTTATCCTATCATTGTATTGGGTACTTACGGATATAACTTCACTCTCCACTAGTTCATCAATATCATCAGTATATGATGCCAACTGAGGTGTGCTGTAGGCTACCGAATCCACAGTGTGTGACGAAGAAGGGATAATTAAGCTATTCCGTATGTCAGAGCATATCCTCTCAAGTACTGCATCATCCAGCAGATGACAGCGCTGTATAGCTCGTACTTGATCCGACAATCGTTGTGCTGATACGTTGACAGCTGGTTCAAGCTCCTGAAACAAAGAGACTAGTCGAACACGGTACGCAGTAAGGTTCGTTCCCACCTCTGTAGCCCGATAATATGCCCGCATGACATTTTCATTAATAGACTTTGTCCACTTCATGCGGCGCACATCACCACCGGTAGCGGGGACCCTGTTCGAGGTCAGTAGTCCTCGGGATCCCAAGCTGGTCGGTGGCCGGCCTCTCCCCTGCCGACGTACAGGTGTTGGCGACGTCGGCGGAGAGAAAAACTCGTCGCTTGAAGTCGAGCTCGACGCCTCAGCCACGGCCGGAACTTCTGTTGTAGCTTCCGGGGACGGCAAGACGGAGCCGGAGCGACGAGTCCGGGGATGTTGTCAGTGCTCTGGATCTAGCTCGGGTTAACATTTTCCAGTCGAATTTCTTTCATTATGAATATTTATTTATATTTTGACATGACGTTAAACGTCATGTCGTACTATAAACATATATCTATGTATATTATTTATTTTAAACGGTTTTGTATTGTATTTTTATAAAAAGGATCCATTTTAATACAGTTTTATAGCTTTTAATTATTGTACGGGATTGTAAATGTATAGAAAACTTGTTTATTTCGAAAATGTGAAGAAATTCCGACTGATGTAGGTAAGTGTTGCTAGTTATTATTATTATTATTATTATTATTTTCGTACGTGCGCTACTTCTACAACAAGACAGTTCGTCTCATTTCTATTTCGATTTTACTCTTGTAAGGAGTTGTTCTATTCTTCTTTGAAAGAAAAACGTAATTTGCGTTTCTTAATCATAAAAATGTGTTCAAGGCGAAGTGAGACTACTTGTACTATATTGGGACCTTATAAAGAACTTGACGATCGCCAATTACCTGTTATAAAAGACGTTATTAAGTGCATTTTATTTACTAAAAGTGAATTAAAACTACAGAAAAACGGAAAAGATCCATCGAACACAGTGGTCTTTTCAATAGTTTCTGGAAAACTTAACATAATTTGGACCAAAGCTTCAATTCCCATCGTTACTAACGTACGGGTTAATCAACTGCTAACCGCATATTTTAACAAATATTTATCACTAATAAGATATCCTAAAAGTAAGAGAAACGATAGCTATGACAACAAAGTTAAGTGCTTTTTGGAATCGTCAAATAAGCTTTTTGACATCGCTGCTTGTAAGTGCACTTCGTTTGAAAATTGTTCCTGCACTAAACCCAAGAAAGTTCCCATTTCTGAAAGAGATTTTTTACTGGACCAAAGAAATGATAGGAAAATGGCAATAAGCGGCGTAGACGCAAAAGAAACTGCAAGGCTTTTAAAGAAACATCAAAGACAAGAAAATTTGAAGCGGACAGAGCAAGCATGTTTTCCGAGTACTTCACAAACCGATACTGTACCGGTACGCGTGTTGCCGCCTTGTTCACAGTCGCTTTCAATAGAACCTTCTACTAAAAGTGACTTAAAGGAGTCTCCATCTAATTCATTTAGTCGGAACACTCTGACGCTGCCAACAGTAGCTAAGGTATGTGATCGATACGGACTATCAACGCGTTCGGCAGCTGCAGTCGCTTCAGCAGTCTTAGTTGACGTAGGAATGGTATCTTCCGAAGATCTAAACCTTGTGATTGATAAAAATAAGATTCACAGAGCTGTTTCAAAGTCACGTACCCAAGCCAGCAAAGACATCGATAAAATTATTATAAAGAGTATCTACTTCGATGGGCGAAAAGATAAAACTCTCAAGATCAATAAAATAGACAGCCGGTACCACCGAAAAGAAGTCTTAGAAGAACACATTTCAGTTCTTACAGAGCCGGGATCTATTTACTTGGGACATACGACGCCGAGTCGAGGTACTGCGAAAGGGATTGTCACTTCTATTATAGAATTGTTAGAAAATCAAGGATGGAACTTAGAAGAAGTAAGTTGTGTGGGTTGCGATGGCACTCCTACAAATACAGGTTGGAAAGGAGGTGTCATTAAATACCTGGAAGACTATTTGAAGAGACCGTTACAATGGTGTGTTTGTATGCTTCACACAAATGAATTACCGCTTCGCCATTTGTTTATGTCTCTAGATGGTAGCACATCTGGGCCGAAAGAATACTCAGGACCTATTGGAAAACAGCTAAATGTTTGTGAAAGTAAACCACTAGTGTCTTTTTGTGCAGTGGCTGGCAATTTGCTCGAATTACCTGATGACATTGTGAAGGAACTAAGTACGGATCAAAAGTATCTGTATGAAATGTGTCATGCTGTGACGACTGGTTCTTTTTCCCCTGAGTTAGCGAGCCGCCAACCTGGAAAAATGGCGCATTCAAGATGGCTAACTACTGCCAATCGCATACTCAGACTTTATGTAAGTACTGTTTCGCCATCAAATAATTTAAAGCTGCTTGTCAATTATGTGGTCAAAGTTTATGCTCCAGTTTGGTTCCTCAGTTTGGAGCCCCCCTTCTCATTTATTTGGAACATCCGATTTTGATTATACCGATCTATTCGTTTTTTATACCGTCTTATCCTATTTGCCCATGCATAAATTTTCTGCTTTAGAAAGTCTATGCGCTCTGTGACACATGACATGTACTGCTGAGGACTAATGGTAGTCCCCAAAAATGCCTGTTTCACAAAGCGCATCACTCTCGGCCGCGTATTCCCTGATCGGTAGCTAATAAGCTTACCGATGAGTGTCCTGGTCTCAGCAATACGACGCTCAATTCTATACTGCCAAGCTGGTACAGTAGATTTAGGTCGAGTAGTAGTTACATTGTTAGCTATTTTAACACCAGCTACTCGACAAACTGCAATAGCCGCACAATATAGAATAGAATGTGTATCACTAAGATCTTCGCTATTATCTAAATATTCAGGCAATAACGAATCCAGGGCACCCACCAGCGCTAAATTTCGTTTATGAATGGGCAAACGGAATAACCGGGGCCTATCATTGCAATTTAAATATCGGTATTCCAGAATCGCATCCTCCAAAGCGCTCCTTATCCTATCATTGTATTGGGTACTTACGGATATAACTTCACTCTCCACTAGTTCATCAATATCATCAGTATATGATGCCAACTGAGGTGTGCTGTAGGCTACCGAATCCACAGTGTGTGACGAAGAAGGGATAATTAAGCTATTCCGTATGTCAGAGCATATCCTCTCAAGTACTGCATCATCCAGCAGATGACAGCGCTGTATAGCTCGTACTTGATCCGACAATCGTTGTGCTGATACGTTGACAGCTGGTTCAAGCTCCTGAAACAAAGAGACTAGTCGAACACGGTACGCAGTAAGGTTCGTTCCCACCTCTGTAGCCCGATAATATGCCCGCATGACATTTTCATTAATAGACTTTGTCCACTTCATGCGGCGCACATCACCACCGGTAGCGGGGACCCTGTTCGAGGTCAGTAGTCCTCGGGATCCCAAGCTGGTCGGTGGCCGGCCTCTCCCCTGCCGACGTACAGGTGTTGGCGACGTCGGCGGAGAGAAAAACTCGTCGCTTGAAGTCGAGCTCGACGCCTCAGCCACGGCCGGAACTTCTGTTGTAGCTTCCGGGGACGGCAAGACGGAGCCGGAGCGACGAGTCCGGGGATGTTGTCAGTGCTCTGGATCTAGCTCGGGTTAACATTTTCCAGTCGAATTTCTTTCATTATGAATATTTATTTATATTTTGACATGACGTTAAACGTCATGTCGTACTATAAACATATATCTATGTATATTATTTATTTTAAACGGTTTTGTATTGTATTTTTATAAAAAGGATCCATTTTAATACAGTTTTATAGCTTTTAATTATTGTACGGGATTGTAAATGTATAGAAAACTTGTTTATTTCGAAAATGTGAAGAAATTCCGACTGATGTAGGTAAGTGTTGCTAGTTATTATTATTATTATTATTATTATTTTCGTACGTGCGCTACTTCTACAACAAGACAGTTCGTCTCATTTCTATTTCGATTTTACTCTTGTAAGGAGTTGTTCTATTCTTCTTTGAAAGAAAAACGTAATTTGCGTTTCTTAATCATAAAAATGTGTTCAAGGCGAAGTGAGACTACTTGTACTATATTGGGACCTTATAAAGAACTTGACGATCGCCAATTACCTGTTATAAAAGACGTTATTAAGTGCATTTTATTTACTAAAAGTGAATTAAAACTACAGAAAAACGGAAAAGATCCATCGAACACAGTGGTCTTTTCAATAGTTTCTGGAAAACTTAACATAATTTGGACCAAAGCTTCAATTCCCATCGTTACTAACGTACGGGTTAATCAACTGCTAACCGCATATTTTAACAAATATTTATCACTAATAAGATATCCTAAAAGTAAGAGAAACGATAGCTATGACAACAAAGTTAAGTGCTTTTTGGAATCGTCAAATAAGCTTTTTGACATCGCTGCTTGTAAGTGCACTTCGTTTGAAAATTGTTCCTGCACTAAACCCAAGAAAGTTCCCATTTCTGAAAGAGATTTTTTACTGGACCAAAGAAATGATAGGAAAATGGCAATAAGCGGCGTAGACGCAAAAGAAACTGCAAGGCTTTTAAAGAAACATCAAAGACAAGAAAATTTGAAGCGGACAGAGCAAGCATGTTTTCCGAGTACTTCACAAACCGATACTGTACCGGTACGCGTGTTGCCGCCTTGTTCACAGTCGCTTTCAATAGAACCTTCTACTAAAAGTGACTTAAAGGAGTCTCCATCTAATTCATTTAGTCGGAACACTCTGACGCTGCCAACAGTAGCTAAGGTATGTGATCGATACGGACTATCAACGCGTTCGGCAGCTGCAGTCGCTTCAGCAGTCTTAGTTGACGTAGGAATGGTATCTTCCGAAGATCTAAACCTTGTGATTGATAAAAATAAGATTCACAGAGCTGTTTCAAAGTCACGTACCCAAGCCAGCAAAGACATCGATAAAATTATTATAAAGAGTATCTACTTCGATGGGCGAAAAGATAAAACTCTCAAGATCAATAAAATAGACAGCCGGTACCACCGAAAAGAAGTCTTAGAAGAACACATTTCAGTTCTTACAGAGCCGGGATCTATTTACTTGGGACATACGACGCCGAGTCGAGGTACTGCGAAAGGGATTGTCACTTCTATTATAGAATTGTTAGAAAATCAAGGATGGAACTTAGAAGAAGTAAGTTGTGTGGGTTGCGATGGCACTCCTACAAATACAGGTTGGAAAGGAGGTGTCATTAAATACCTGGAAGACTATTTGAAGAGACCGTTACAATGGTGTGTTTGTATGCTTCACACAAATGAATTACCGCTTCGCCATTTGTTTATGTCTCTAGATGGTAGCACATCTGGGCCGAAAGAATACTCAGGACCTATTGGAAAACAGCTAAATGTTTGTGAAAGTAAACCACTAGTGTCTTTTTGTGCAGTGGCTGGCAATTTGCTCGAATTACCTGATGACATTGTGAAGGAACTAAGTACGGATCAAAAGTATCTGTATGAAATGTGTCATGCTGTGACGACTGGTTCTTTTTCCCCTGAGTTAGCGAGCCGCCAACCTGGAAAAATGGCGCATTCAAGATGGCTAACTACTGCCAATCGCATACTCAGACTTTATGTAAGTACTGTTTCGCCATCAAATAATTTAAAGCTGCTTGTCAATTATGTGGTCAAAGTTTATGCTCCAGTTTGGTTCCTCATTAAGAAAAACTCATCATTCAAAGATGGAGCCAATCATATTTTTCAAATGGTTACATACTCCCGATTTTTGCCTGATAAGCAAAGATCTATTGTGAATTCAGTGATCGAGAGAAACGCTTTTTTTGCTCACCCTGAAAACTATGCTATTCGACGACAGAGAGCTTATTCGAGAGCTTGCAGCTCGCAAAATATTAAAGGCAAGAGAAGCAGAAATAAGCAATACTCGCAGGGTATTTAAAGTACCAAAACTTAACTTCGATGCGCGATATTACATCGATTTGATATTTTGGCAAGAGTGTGAGATATCCGCTCCACCGATTTTGCGACAGATGTCCGACGACGAACTGAGAATTAAGGCTAATGAACAAAGCTTCGATGTTATTGATTTCCCCTGTCATACACAATCAGTGGAAAGATGTGTAAAGCTAGTGACGGAGGCTTCTCTAAGTGTCACGGACGCTACAGCTCGGGATGGTTTAATCAGAAACAGATTAAAATCTCGCGCGGAAATGCCTAATTTTGGCCACAAGAACCAATTTCGTATTTGAAATAAGCACTAATTATAAGTATTTAAACTTTACTAAACATTACCTTATGTCTTTGTAGTACCTATAAATTTGATTAAAACCTTTAAAACATTATTTTTGTATCATTTATAGTTTATGTTCGAAACCTCTAAAAATGGCAAATTTGAAAAACTTCTAGGATCGGTAGAGGCCTAAAGATGACAAATATTTAATTAAATTTTGTTATATTTGTAATCTATTCACAAAAACGCAACTTTTGATACCTCTTGCGTAGCCGTCGCTTTAAAAAAAAAAATCCCATACATTGACGGGACCCCCTACTGTACATGGTAATATTTTAAATCATAAAATCGATTATTCAAATATTCAGTACCATTATCACACCTTAATTGTTGCATGGGTCGATCAGTTAAATTGTTAATAACATTATAATATTGAAAAAAAATATCAAATACTTCTGACTTATTTTTTAAACAATATACACGAGCAGCACGAGAATAATCATCTATGAAACTTACAAAATATTTTTCCCCATTATAACTTTCAACATCCAAAAATTTTACATCAGTATGAACTATTTGACCACAGTATTTAGCTCGGGTTCTATTATTTTGGTATTTTGACTCAATACAAATTTCACAATCCATAAAAACTTTTTCAACGGTATTTGGCAAATCTTCTAAATAATTATCTTTGCACATAATATTTAAATCTTTAAAATTTACATGCCTCCAAAATCAAGATGCTTCCAGCAAATTTAAGACTGACGTTTTGTAGTGGTACTCGCTCTTCCCCGACCTTCTTTGTGAATCTTCTTATAGCTACTATTTCATAGATTGATGATAGTTTTGTATATATTTCTTTGTTTGAAATATTTGCTGTTACAAACCTAATTATACCTGTTTTTTCTATTTCCGCAGCTGGAATGAATACCTTCATGCCATGCTTGTTGAGAAATGCCGTGTTGTTGATGAAGTGATTGGCTGTTTAAATATTACTGCTATTTTATTTGCATTAATGCGTTGTATCGCCTTCACCCCTTTTATTTCATTAGAATATATATGGTTGAGGTAGATAGGACTCTTATTGCCTATTCTATCTGTATTGTTGGTAGCTTCAATATACACTTTAAAGTCTAGATAGGTGCCGTTTTCTGGGTATAGTCTTTTGTAATTAGGTTTAATATATGGTGAGTAGTCAAAACGCTCACCAGCACCGCCGCCATCCCCACAGTCCATTATAGTTCCTCCGTCTCTGGCCTCAGGCCGAGGACGTTTATGCGAGGTGGGCGGGTTATCCCTGTTGAGAAGTAATTTTCACTCAGTTATTATGGTAACACTGCTAGTGTGTGTGTGTACTGGCAATACTGATGTAAGATATAAAAATAAATAAAAAGATGTCGCTTGTAAGCTTGTATTTCGTGTGTTAATAAAAAGTAATAATGTTCAACAGTGCTCGAGTATTTCATTAAGTAAAATCACACTCCACTCAGTATTTAAGCTTAATATTTAACAATCCCCGCCCCCCTCGTTTCCCATCATTTTTCACTATTTAGACCACCTAGTAGTTGCTTTTAATCGACTTTTTTTTCCCAAAATAAGCGAATATGTAATAAAAAATTATTTTAAATTTTTTTACGCGCACTCTTTTTTGGAAGTTCCCGCCATTCCTTCACGGTCTGGATTGATGACATACACTAGGCTGGCGTATGTCGTCAATCCGTCGTCGAGATGTGTCAACTTGATTTACTAACTCAAGTTGTGCTAAGTTCAAGTTAACTCGAGTTGAATTCTCCCTAAACCGTGTTTGGGTTGGCGGTAAATGAACGAATCAACCAAAAGAGCGAGAGCGCGATACGCTCATTGGGTGCGCGCCCAACGCCCTTTAATATCTAAGACCTATGATTTCACTGTTAGACATCTACGAAGTGGTAAAAAATACCAAAAGACCAACCCGTGAGGGTGAACAGTATTTTAAAAGTGGAATGTTAATGTGTGTTGGTGTTAAAGAACGAAAATCTGAAAAAGTTAAGTGTCTGGGCTTAGCTGCACAAACTTCTGGTGTACTTGATTATCCACATGAAGTGGAATGTAATTTGGACACATCAAAACCGGAAGGTCAACGTATAATCGATGTAAAATGTAAATGTCCAGCTGGAAACATATTATCATAAAAGTGTTGATAACTTCTGATGTGAATAACAGTAAGGTTAATGATTATTAAATCGTACCTAGAAAGTAATTTAATTCGGTAAAATGTTCTGAGCAAACTCGCATATAATTTGATGAAGGTTTTCCTAATCGAAGAACACTTTCCCAACGTTTTCTCAACTTGTCATCAGTAGGAAAAATATGAAAACTTAAACCCTCTTTATTATAATTATTACATTGAGGAACACAACAGTAAGTATTTCCTTTTTTTTTATTATTCTTTGTATCCATCTTAACACTTAAATTATCGTAATCGATCGCACAATTTTTTTTTAATTCTTGAAAAATTATGAAACAATAATGAACAAAACGGTATATTCTACGTATATTCGTATTTCTACCAACCCGTCTGGCCAGCGTGGTATAGTAGGCCAAAACCTCCTTTCTATGGAGAAGCCTAGTTTTTCTATTATGTACAATTTTGTGTTTAATGTAACTTACATTATGTAGTGTTATTACAAAATGTAACAAGAAGATACTTTTTTTAATATATTTTTTTTTATTGAAACTTACTATTACGTTCACTGACATGAAGTTATGTTAAAATGCTTTAAGAACTTCAACTTATGTATGTACACAATAATTAGATTTTTTTTGTTTTTTTTTTTTGAGAATATTTGTTGTTGAAAATAGTTATAAGAATGTAAACTTACAAGAAACTATTTTTAGTTTTTTGACTTCAGAATTGTATTACTTTAAACATACGAAAAATGCGATATTCGAACGTCAATAATTGTCCCATTTGATAGCGTGGTCGAAAAACCAAGGCAAGTTCTTATTTGGAGTTTTTGATATGGTAATAGGTTAAAACCCGCCATTTGGGTTTTTATTTGGATTTAAACTTGTTTCTTCCCAAAAAACCGGTGTAACCAATTGAGTTTGAACTATCTGCCCATCAGTAACCCTGACCACACTGATACTAATATTTTAGATCTTTATGTATACGCAGTTTTATACAATAAATATACTCGAATGTATGTCTAATGACATTTCTTTTCTTTCTTTTCTTTATCTTAGCAAAATACAGCCGTCATCCAACTTGATACCGTTCTTTAGTCGAAAACAATTGATTTAATTTCGTTCTGTTTAAAAAACCTAAGAGAACATTGTTTTTTTTTATATAGAAAATTCAGATGCATTTTGGTTGGAACATTAATGTTTAGGATTTTATTATATGAGTAATCTGCTCCGTTTGAACAAGTTATTAAAGTTCATTCTATGGGATTTTATGTAATGGGCTCAAAAAAAAGGAGCCATCGCAGAACCGCTGGCAGATGTAAAACATTGAAATTGTCATGTAGAAATAATGAGTATTAAAGCCTGGCTTATTTAAGGAAATATTAAATATAGCATAATAAAAAATATAATGTTCAGATTTTTCAGAGAATTACAACGTACCAACGTTGTTGTTAGGCGATTTTATTCCTATGACATTGACTAGTCAGTGTACCTATAGTTTATCTGTGGGTGATTGTGATTTTTTGAGTAATATGTTATCTCGTAATCTGTGACTTATTGATTAAATATGGCGTTCAGTAAGCAATGTCGTTCTCTGATTAGTAAATGTGCGTTTACTAAAGCTTTAAAATGAGCTTTTCTCTTCGAGACTTCTCGTAATATTGATATATACTTCATTATTACAAATGAAAAAAAACCACACAATTAAAAAAACAAGCCAGACTCGTGACACCCGGTAACTGTTACTTTTGCAATAAAGAATTTGAAAACTTACAGTAAAATAATATTAATATAAATATGTACAGTGTTGAATTAAGCTATAATAATTAAATGCAAATCACTTAATTTTAAATAAAGTGCTTAGAAGTGGATAAGTTATAAACAATATGTTTAATTGGATTAAAGTATTACGATGATACTTGGTCATGTCAAGATTGACAAGCCATAAATATGTTAAATTCATGAAATTTAAACAACTTAATTAAAATGTTTACTTTTATCTTAATAATACTAGTACTTAAAGTTTACGTAGTGAAAATCAATTTATTGAAAGCAAAAAGTTTGTTACTGGTAATTAAAATTGTATGTGAACATGCTAAAAATCAAACCCAGGATTGGTAATGGAACTGAATTCAAACATTGCTTAATATTTTAAGCTTGAAATGCAACGTTTTAAAGAAGCCAATGTTATAGCCAGTAATTATAAAATAATGATACACAAACTGATACACCAAAAATATAATAATAATATTTATTTACCACATTCACACAACGCCATCTAGTCCCAAACTAAGCAGAGCTTGTACTCGTACTATGGGTACTAGACAACTGATTTAAATACATATATACTTTTTTTAAACCTCCTTTCTAAGGAGAGGCCTATGTCCAGCAGTGGACTAG